TTATTTGCCATTATAGCTCGTCATAAAAAGCTCAACTGTAGATTTATTTTAGAAAGACTAACTCTTTTTTTTTCTAAACAAATATTAAAAGAAAATCATGGTAAAAATACCATCATATAATTATTTTTTAAGGACTCAAACATCCTTCATAGAACAAAATTATTGAATATGATTATTAGAACACCCATCTTTTCTTTATTTTATTTCCTCCACATTTATTACTGGGTATTATAAGTTCGAGACCCTCTTTAAGCAAACTCTATACTCGATCCTGTTTGTATAGTTCTCGAGTGACACTTATCTGTTGTGATCGGTTCATTGAGATCGGAAAGGGTTAGGCGAAACTTAACTTATCGTGCCGTAAGCCCGATAAGCCCCTTTAAGTGGCGATACTCATGGGATTGACTGCCGACTGTTTTCTGTTCCGAAATCAAAACAAAAATAAAACGATTCTGCACTCACTCACCTTTGGCCAAATATTATGTGAATGAGCACAGCAGACGAGCTTTGAAACTTGACCAAATGTCTCATCTCAAACATTTTATTTAGCACGTTTTTATCGATTAAAAGACCTTCCGGCGGCTGTTTTGATTGCAGCCAAAATCAGACTCTCCTTGGAAATGGTGATAAGTTAACTAATCGCGGCTATTATTGTTGAAAATGACATATCGGGAATTGGATTGCTTTATAATGACAACATTTCCAGCATATACAGAAGTGGATCCCACGTGAATAGCTTTTCAAAATGCCAATAATAACACTTCGATTGTTTAGCATTGTCTCTGCCGTGATTAACTATATTTTGTGAAAAACCCAAAAGATAATTTCAGCTAAAATTAGTGTCTTACTCGATCATAGTTCGTGACTCATTGAGGCAATCATGTGCTTGGCAACAGAATTAAATGAAATTAAACACTTTTTAACATATAATTACTTGCTATTAGCTGATATTTCCAAGTGGTTTAACATAATATTGAAATGCATATGTTTCCCTAAAGAAAAAATGTGTTTTTAATATTTTATAAAATTTATTTTCCTTGTTTTTTAGTAATGTATGCACAAATTTTTGCCATCAAAGCTGGCTGGTTTTTCTCATTTCGACTGCTAATAATTTGCGGTTGACTTTGTTGGCCAACGAAGGCAAACACACAAAGATGAAATCAAAAATCCAAACAACTATATTCGGGCTTGATTGAAAGGTAAATACTGCACAAATGGACAGGAGCGTGGGAGATGGATGTTGTTGATGGCAGACAAAGGATCCCGGCTTTATAGCCACCTGCTGGGACCACCTGTTTAGATATGCTCCGGACAAAGGAGTTCCGGAAGCGAGACAAAGAGCATAGCGATGTGGAAAATAATCAGTGATAAAATAAGAGCTTAAAAGGACCCACCGCCAGCGAAAAGGGGTGGCTACAAATAAATTCAGGGGTGGACCGTATGAAAAGAAGAATTGTGTGCATTATCCGGCGGATTCATGTTAATAGGCCTCATTTAACGCTGCTGGGGTAGATGGCTTCCCCCTTTGTTATTTTTTTCCTCTTTTTCGAAGACCTGCAGTACCAATAAAACCATAAAAATCACTTCTTCACCGCAGCACAAACATATCGGTAGGCAAAACCAAAAACCAGATACTAGTACTCCTACTCGAAGTTGTATTTTTCTTCAGAACACAGTTTCTGTTTCATGTTTTTCGGTTTCAGGTTGGTGGCCTTATCAATTGGTACATTCGGTGTGTGTTGTTTTTAGCCGTGGGGCACGAGAGGCACCTTGTAACCGATGAAACAGAGTGTCAACAACGGTGTTGCCTTCTCAATGGGCAAATCTTGTAGCACATACGACGATAACCGAAGATACGCGGCCCACATGAAAATAGAAAATAGAAAACGAGAAGAGTGCACACGTTGCGTATTTATAGATACCCCCCAGATACCCAGATACTTAGATACCGGCGGTTAAAGCCTTATCAGCGTTCAAGGTATCGACTGAAATGCCGTTCAAATATTTACACCAGCAGCAAAAAGATATTTATTCCCCCGACCGCCGACGGTTGGAGGAGCTTCTGCTCCGGAGTCCGGACTCCGGAGACTCCGGAGTTGATAAGCGGGAGCGGACATGGGTGCGCTAATTGCGGAATGATAAAAACAGGAAAGCAGCTAACCGAGGCGGCTACCATGGCCACTCCCCCCTGGGAGAGTCAGCCCCTTTTGTTGCCAACGACCGCGGGCCAAAAACCACGCAAATGTTCCACCAACTCGGTTACCAATGCCAGGATTTCGGATTCCGTAGAATAATAAAAGCGCAGGAGGGGGTTATTTAAGTAAGGCAGGCTAAAATATACACACCCTGGCAATTAAAGTGCATTTATCAAAAGACTTTTTTAAATTTAATTGTTTCAATGATATTACATTTTGGCGGTTTTTAATGCTGCCAAAAAATATTTAACGTGTTTGAAAATAAACCAATGATTTATAATTTATAATCTTCTTAAATGGTTAACAGAAAATTTATACAATATTTTTTAATGATATATAGTCGACATTCAGTCATAAAATCATATATTCAATGAACCTATATTTCTTTTTAAAATCACCTAATATTAAATACATATCAGCGAGTCAAAAAATACTCCCCTTGAAGTCCCTCAAAATCGTAAAACTCTCTGCAAGGGTATAACAATTAAATAAAATAAGAATTCGTATCTCCGTACACTTTGTTATTGCCAGCATTTTCGACTCGTATTTGCCTAAACCGGCCCCAAAGGAATACGAAGAAGCTCCTGAACCCCAACACGTTGCTAGACATCCTTTGTGCACTTGGATGGGGTACAAAATCGGGGATGAGAACGAGAACTCGGAAACGGATACGGATTCGGATGCGGATTCGCAGTTCCTTCCTCTCCAAATTGTTGCCAGCTTCGAGCTTCGAGCATATTACATAAAATAAGAAAAATTATGATTTCCACAAGGAGGGGTGGGGGGGAAAATGTGGAAGAATTTCGGGGGAGCAAAGGGGCTGGCTGTTGCTTAACTGTCAAAATCGTGTAATTTAATAAAGTTCGCTGCGGGATATTGTTTTTTATAGAAGCCGGAGCAACATTGAGACAGCTTTTGCCAGCTGCCAAAAGGGGAGTGGCTGCAAAATTGTGGCTGGTGTTGGTCTTCCTCCTTTTTTTTTTTGTTGTTTTTGTAGTGGAAGGGGCAATGTGGCTCCTCAAAGTGTGCTGCACAAATACAAAAATATTCAGTTCACTTCAGTTACATATAGAGTGTAGCATTGTAACAACGCAATGTTGTCTTGTGGGCCTGCCACAGGCACTCCACAAACACTCTCAAGGGGGGATATACATACATATATACGTTTATATGTTCATATATAGCTGCGCAATGTTTTCATACATTCCACTTGTTTACTCCAAAAGCAGCGAATAAAGTTTTTACTTTGGAAAATATGCGGAACTTGCGAGTTGTGGCAAGTGGATGGCAATTTTAGAGTGGAGACAAAATCACATAGTTTGGCAAAGACAAAAGCTGAATACATATTTTAATGTTACTCCAGATATTATTTTGAAGTCATTCAACTTTCAGTTTATTGAGCTAAAAATTCATTTAAAATACTATTCCTTTTAATTAGAATTTTTATGGGAAATTTCTAAGGATAATTAAAGCCAATTAAAAACATACATGAATTAAGCACATAGCTGAAAAAAAACTGCCTCTTTTAGAGTGTAATGATGTTTGCTCATAGTTATCAAAAGAAACTTTTTAAGCTCTTTACACACTTTTTATATCCACATGCAAGTCCTGTTGCGAAAGCCAGTCCCCAGATGTTTTTGCTATTCTCAGCTGACATCCCCAACCATTTGTATGCCGTTTATTTTTTACCAAGAAAAAATTCCGATTTTATTTTATTAAGCAGCGAAGAAATATAAAAGTAAACAGTTGACTGCAAAACACACACATGACTGTATACAACCTTCCCCCAAAAAAAAAGACGGGAACACCGAAAGACCGGCCTTTGGGCCAGGGAAACCCACGCCCACACGTTTCCAGCGTCATATGAACGCCCCATTATTTACTTAACATAACTTGAACATTCGCCTTCAACCCCCCGGACTGAAAAAAAAAAAAAATACCCTCCAAGGGGGAGCATCAGACATAGCCAAAAAAAAAAAAAAAAAACGTAAAGAAAAATAAGGAACAGGGAAATGGAAGGTGGAAAATCGTAGGTGGGACGTTGAGTGGGTGGGATGTTGGATGGTTGGGTTTTGGTGAGGTAGTAACTTGGCTTACCTGCCAACCGGCAGTTGGCTAGTCAAAAAGCTGTCGTCGATGCTAAGCGCAGACCCAGAAAGCCATCAAATATGCAGGAGGTGGAAATGTGCAGGGCTCCACAATTCCCCCCTCCCACAATTCACCAAACGGGATGAGAATTCCGAAAAAAAATGGCGAAAAAATGATTTATGTGGACGCCATAAAGGCAAGAGAGGACGGAAACGAAAAGCCAACAATAACCGGGAAAAATAACAGAATCAACTGATTTCTCAACTTGGCTCTGGGCCTGCTTTTGTTTGCCAGACTTGAGAGACGAAGGGGGGAGTAAAAAGGGTGAAGGGAATGGGGGAAAAGTGGGCTGATAGACCCACAATTTTACCTTCCATGCGGGACTTCATTCTTGTTTTGCCAGCAATGAAAAATGCTGAAAGTGTGCTCCACAGACAGCGGACTCCAATGGTATTGGGGTCACAGAAAAGGTATAAGATATTGATGTCCCCAGGGGAAGTTGTTTTTTTTTTTTTTGCTTTTTTTGTAGGCTTTTGAAAAAAAAAAATTGAATTCTTCTAGAGGGTGCTTGTGCATGATATATTAATGCCTATCGTAAGCTTTCATTTTCCAATCCTTGAAATCCTTAAAATAAAATATTTTTTATTTGTTTATAACGAGAGGAATGGTGTGCTTAATGGTTTAAGTAAATTTAGTAGGTCTTAAATTTGTCATAAAAAGAAACACTGAAATGTTTGTCAAATAACATATATACGTATTCTGTTTGCTTTATCAAAGACATCCGTTTCGGTCAAAACTTCCAAATCAAAAAACAAACAAGGTAAAAATAAAAAAAAATCCTAAAAATTGTCTTACTGTTTACACAGACTTTTTTTTCCCATAGATGTCCGATATCAATCTAGTTGCTTATAATAGATTCCGACGAGATCTGGCCAAAATATTCAATACTTTCAATTCGTCCACTCAAACCGATTTTACCGAGGATATTGGCATAGACTCCAACCTTGATCGCAAAGATTCCGAATTAACGCTTTCCAATTTCTACGATCTGGAATTGGATTAGCGAAGAAGAATTATGGAAAAAGAAACTCCTTCGAAAGAGGAAAACCCAGGGTCAAGTCGAGAAAGAAATAATCCAAGTGAGTGTAAGATGGTCAAGAAAAAGAAACCAACACGATCGCAATCCGAAGTGAAAATGCAATCGAGTAGAACCACGCTTTTGGGTTCAATGCGCTCCAAATCCCAAGAAAGCCGGGGAAACACCTGGGAATCTTCACATAATCAAGATAATCAACAAATGGTAACCTCATCGCAAATTGCTTTGGACGACATTAACTCCAGAACGAGTTCTATTAGCACAATCGGTAGTGCTCACCTTTCCCCATCTGAATCGCAAACTTCTGGTTACACCACCGAGAGCAGTTATCAAACGGCTACGGGATATGAACTGCTTCCTCAAAATAGTTCCTATGCCAGTTTTGAGACCTATTATGGACCACCTCCTTCCAATTTCCTGCAGGAGGTTCATGTGGCTATTGATCCTGCCGCTTCTGGAGAGGAGATTCAGTCTGTTCGCCGGGACTTGCGAACATTGCTAACCAACGAGATGGATTTAATCGGAGCATCGAATGCTGACGTTGTTTATTTGATAGCATATAACTATATGTAGTTGGTTTTAAAAATGTTCAAAATTTTCTGTTCCTAATTTGGAACAAGGAGCTATTGACTAAATGCGAATTATTTTAACACCTCAGTGGAAAGCATGCACTCTTACCAAAATAATTAAACATAGAACAGTATAATAAAATCCACGAAATATTTATTAATAACCTTAATAATTTGATAATTTTAAAGAGGGTAAAACCCCCTGACTTTAAATCCATGAAGAAAGGAACTCGTATTTAAAGTCCACATTTGAATAATAACCTTAGGCGAGGCAAACCCACTTAAACACAAACATTTAAGGCACTTCAAACAGAATTCGGTCCTTTTCAAAAGTCATCTATTTAATCACTTTTTCGGCTTCAAATGGTTTCGCTGACTTTCTTCCGCCATTTCAATGGACAATCAGTTGTCGAATGAAGTGTTTGCTCATACTGCGTGATCTGCGCCTGTTGACATTATGACAAATTACATAAGCTAAAGGCAACAATTGCCGAGAACCCATTCCAAATCGAAGGGAGGGAAGGAAGGAAGGAAGTGCGGAAGGAAGGAAAGAACAAACCAAAAACGGATACGCTTTGCAGGACTCTTTGGAGTGGGTTTTTGGTGGGGTGGTTGGTGGGTTGGAGGGTTGGAGGGATGTAGGCCCGTTAATAGGAAAGCCACACAAGAACGGCTAACGAAGGACACGCGGCCGCCGTTTGAGCGACAAGTGCGCACGGGAATAAAAAAAAAAAAAATAAAAGAAGGAAAGGCAGGACACTGAGGTCCTGACTGCGGGGTGGATCTGGTGGTCCTGGTCGTGTTTGCTCAGCGCTAAGTGCACCGGGTTCCCTGGGCAAGTGGAAATGATAAACATATTTACACAATTTTTGACAGGCGAACGGGTGAAACAAAACACCCGTGGGTGCAGTCCTCCAGGCGCTTTTCCCCCTTTCCCGTTTTCCTCATCGCCACGCACTTGAAACAACCGAAAAGAAAACCAAACCCAAACTCGATAAATATGTTTATGTGCAAATAACAAAATATTTGTCGATTGCCCAAAAACGACTGTTGGAAGGGGTGGGACTTTCAGCTCTTCGGGTTGGGATCGGCAGGATCTAAACGGCAGAGGGGGTGGTTCCTGGGGGAGGGAGGCGGCAGAAGGGGAGGGATGGAGGGGAGGGGGTGCAAGGAAGCACCGCAAGCGCATAATTCAATTTTTCTGCTCGTTTTTGCACGTCGCCCGGCACATGTCACTCGAGTCCATTGGGACACCGAGCTGCCACGCTACACCAGCTGAAGCGAAACCCTGCCCAAGAGCACTGGCAGAAAAACTGGCAACAATACAATAAATACACAGAAAAAAATTTCAATAAAATTATGTACAATTAAATACTTCATACTTAAGAAATTATACAAGCAAAGTCAATTAGTTTTGAAAGAATAACTTGTACGCCTTTCAGTCAATACAAATAGGTTAACAATTAGTATTTTTAAACTCACAACATTGTAACAATGAAACAAAATAAATTTTCACAAGATCGATAAAAAAAATTACCCCAAACGTATTTAAAATACAAATTTGGACAGTGATTAATAAAACAAGACTTATGTCTTCATTAATTTGAAATATGTAGAAGACTACGAATAAATCCACCAACATTCAAGTTGTCTTATTTTAATTTTGTAAGCTTAAACATATAGAAATAAATACGCAGTTTTGGTTCGCAGGTCTTCCCTGATTTCCCCATTCCTCCCACATTTTCCCTAAGTGCACGCACTTTGTCAGGGATGCAGCGAATATTAGTGACACGTGGCGAAGGCTCGGCAAGGCGATCTCCAGGTCCCAGGACATGCGGTTACCGAAAAACTGGCCCTCCAGCCCCCGCTATTTATTTGTTTGTAATTACGCGTGTTCTAAAACGAAATCCCGCCGCACTCGAGGCCGGGAAAATGGAGAAAATCGGCTGAGCCTGCTCTTTTCAATGCCCGCGCTCGATATGAGGACACGTGCATTGGACCGCCTCTCCTGGTTTTTCCCGGCTTTCGGTTATTCCCAGCGCATTAGCAACAATGCCGGAGACATTCGGAGTTTGTCAACAGTTTCGCCTTTGGATTTGGTTACGGCTTTTGTCCTTGTCAGCGACGCGTGTCTCTGTCCGATGTCATCTTCTCCACTCCACTCCACTCCACTCCACTCCACTCCACTCCGATCTGATCCACTCGACTCGAGTCGACTCCAATCCGCAGTCAGTTGTCAACTTTCTGGACTGGCTTTTAGCCCGGGGATTGCCGATTGATTTGGCGTGGGATTTTCGAGTTGGATATACTCGTACATAAGCATGTGTGCTGTGTGCTTGGGGGACATGAAACGAAATCATAAATGCGACATGGCAGGATCTTCTCCAGTCGGTTTAAGCAAGTCCGACAAAGAAATCCCTTTGACCAGCCGAAAACCGAGCAGTAATAAATCATCTCCTTAGGAAGTTGCTCAGCATATATTTCCTTGAAAGGAAACTTTATGCCGGAGTTTGCCAGTTATATATTGACGTCCCCTTGGACCATATATTTCACTGGGCGAGTGCATAGCATAAAAAAGTGGGCGGGAAAACCGGAGAAGCCGCAACATTGAGCCCGCCTAAAAGGGCATTCGAAATGAGCTCCTCGGAGATGTGAAGATGGCGGTCTGCCACCGGGAAAGCTTTCGTATTTAATTGAAAAACACTTAAGCCACCGGCCTGGGTCGGAAAAGGAAAATGTATATGGAAATGGGAATGGCAAAGCCAGGCCAACCGCAAGGCTCTCATATGTATGACCCCAAAAGGACGACCCGATAACCCCAACTCATCTGCATCGCAGGACCTTTCTGCTCGTTCATAAAAACAAAGGGCGAGCGGCAAACAAAAACTTTGCATAATTAAAGCGCGGCTCATACACAGAAAAACATTATCCTTCATTATTTAAATGTGAAAATATTATATGTCTAAAGTATTCTTAATGTAAAAAAGTCAATCATGAAAAGGTAATTATTTGGTTTGCTTTTTTAGTTCACAAACCATAATTCTTTATAACAGTAACTTTGCTTTCTATTTGGTATTTATACATGAGTCAATACATTTGTAGGGCGCATGTAACCTTTTTTGGGACTTTGAAAGTTGAAAACAATCCCTGCATAATGTATATATCTTCCATTCATTATTTTTCCCTGTGCAGGCAAAAACTCTTAGGCAAAACTCAGATGGACATGGCTGAATCAAAGATGGCATGACTTGGCCACTTACCCTCGAGCGCCCGGTTCCTGGAAATTAAGGCGAGCACCAGTTCGGGATTTGGGTCATCCTGGTCGACAGCCAGGTGATTGTGGTGCTGCCCACCGACGAGGTGCGATGCCTGCGGCGTGGGAGGCAATTGTTGCTGCTGCTGCTGCTGTTTTGATGGATATGCGGCTGATGTTGCTGGTGATTATCCATGGCTGTCAGATGCTGTTGCTGCTGCTGCTGCTGCTGCAACTGCGGATGTTGCAACTGCGGATGCTGCTGGTGCTGATGTGGCTGCTGCGGATGCTGGTGCTGATGGTGATGATGTAGCGGTGGCGGTGGTTTCAGGGTTTGCATCATTGCTAACGCGTCGTATGAGTTATATTTCTTTTAGCTTATAGGTATTTCAATTAGCACTCGGTTTCTCTGGGCCCTATAAAGTGTGTAGACAAAAAATTTCTATTTTAGTTAGTTTACCGCACTCGCGTCCCGTTTTAGCTTTAAACGATAACTGGCATTGGTTCGTTCGAAACTGCGGACCCGTTGACTTTTTCTTCTTATCGCGACGGCGGTCTCTTTGGGGTTTCGTTTCTTAGATTCTAGACTCGGGGCTCGGTTCGAATCGTGCCCTACGTTCGCTCGGCTTCTCTATCAGTTAAAGTAGCCAGGGACTTGAACAATTTGAATTTGCTTGCGACACAGGGGGACACTAGACCAACTATCATTGGTCTTGGGGTGCTTTCGGCCAGGCGAAAGTCAGGTGAACTTTATGTAAGTCGGGAGGGGCCAAGCTGATCAGTGGCCTAAAGTACGATCAGCGGATATCTATTCATATTCATCGTCTGACTGATGGTCACTATTATCTATCGAGAAAGAGTCAAGGTCCAAGTATTTTCGTAGAGAAAACTATAAGTTGTCAAGTTTTTTTTGTTTGTTATTAATGTCAACAAAATAACATTACGATAAAATTTACAAAATCAACAAAAATTTAGAGACCAATTGAGCTTACATAAAAACGTTGCAATTCTTTGTAATGTTTAAAGTAATTGGGATAAGCTTAAATTTTATTAAATCTTTCACTTGTGCTTCAGTGGGTAAACATCTTTTAGCATATTATTTTCAAATTAAAGTCCAAAGGAGTTTAAATTTAATAACAAAAAACTGTAGTTTCATAACTTTGATATGTTCACTTTACATTACAATACACATGTTGCGACGGCAAACTGAAATTACCCTTCATAAAAATTACGGCACTTTACACTCAATTCCAGTATTTTTCAATTGATTCTATTTAACTTTAGTTTTATTTATATTTGATTGGTTAATATTTGATTTAACAGTGTTGCAATTTGCAACGGCACTCCGAATCAATTTTATGTGAACGCCATTTTGGCGACGGCAACTTTAACGGTAACGAAATCGGAAACGACGACGGCAAATGCGAACCGAGTGCGGCAAAATGGCGACGGCATGGCCAACGGTAAGTTCGCTAACGGTTCGTTACCAGCGACAACCCTGGACATGGCAACACTGGCGGCAAGATGACAGTGGTTGTCCGCTGCTTTGTTGTTGCTGCTGGGAATCCTCTATTTGCCGCGCTGCATCTTTATTTATTTTCTTCGCCGCTGCCGTTCTTTCCTTTTCTTTTCTTCTCTTTTTTTCGTTTTTTCGTTCTTTTGTTTTTTTTGTGTTATTTTGCGCACTTTTTCACGCTTTTGTTGGACTGTAAGCTTTTAACGATACTTTTTATGCCCGTTTGCCTTTTGGCCGCCCATATGGGTATGCTATGCGTATACGTGATATGCGCGCGTGTGTTAGTTCGTGAGTGTGTGCCAGTGTGTGTGTGTGTTTACCAATTGATCTTAATGTGACACAAATGATATGGTAAAATGCATACAGCCAGCCCTGAATGGCAGGAAAACAATGGCAACAAGGCGACAACGCCAACAGCGACAGCGACGACATTTTTATGCTTGTTTTTTTGGCCATGCGCATGTGTATCTCTCTGCTAAAAATCCCCCCTTCGCCCCGTCCAAATTCCAAGAGCATTACAATATTTGTAAAACGTAAAAACTTTAGCCCCAAAAACAAAAAAAAAAAATGAAAAAAAGAAACGAAAGCCCCACGAACTTTTGTTTCCCTCTGCCTCAAGAATTTTTAGCTGCAAGAGTGCAGGAGGCACACAAAAATGCGGGTAGAACAAAAAGCCAACCAACGTCGAGCGACACCTTCGTTGGCCCCAAAACAACAGTAAACAGCACTTAAAAGTCAGCAGCGACGTCGACAGAGGCGAAACAAATATGAGAAACTTAACTCAAAAGTCCAAGTCAATACGAGAGCGCGGTCACCAAAAAAAAAAAAAACAACAAGTAAAGCAGGGCTTCCAGGGGAAAAACAGGCACCGCCCCTTTATATTGAAAACATTGGAAATCGTTGATAGGCAAAAGCAACAAAACAACAACAACAACAGCAACAAAGAAAACTAGAGACATGCGCAGGCAGTGGCATTATCTTATCGGCCCAGCGTCGCCATTAAAAGTGGGTGGGTGGTTATACTATTCCTAGGGTTCGACGTCTTTCCAGCGCCGACGCAGTTGAAAATCCAGAAAGTGAGGGGGTTGGCGAAATTCTTAACCCGAATCACCCTGTGTCCATGCTGTATCTGCATAAGGTGTTGTCTGTCTGTAGCTTCAGACTATACTATATATATACATAAATATATAGCCATGTCCACCATCCCAACCCAAAAACCCCTTAAATGCGTTGCGTCTGCAAAAACGATTTTGTTTTCGCATTTATTTATGAGCCGCTTAGAGCGCGCCAAATACTTTGCCAAACACTTTGAACCCCAAAAACCCCAACGACATCCCCGAAAACCGAAACCCATTCTCTATGGAGTGCCCTCCCACAGAAGTGGACACTAGAAGAAGGTCGCTTATGGGTTGGGTTCAAAGGGGGATGGGGGAGCCAAGTATCGCGAACAGCTGGAGTCCATGGGTCGCTTGACAAGTATGTCGCAAGTAAAGAAATTAAAAGGTTAGACGACTTTACAGAAAATTTACATGTTTCTACAAACATTTTGTTGACAATCAAAAACTACTAAATATAAAAATTAACTAAAGATTCAGTTGGTTAGAGGATTAAAATACATACATTCAGAGGTATGTAACTTCAAAATTTGATTAGAAAGGTTATGGACTTAGATTTAGTGCATTATTTTCAGTTTGTCTGACTGGAATTCCAATACCCTCTACAAGGGTTTAAAAATCTTTCTTATTGATAAAAAATGGTCATTGGTTCGAATTCTATTATTTGTCTTTGTTTTCAATTTCGATATTTTTTTGTTAAGCTTTGTTTGATTCCCTTTATTAATATACAACAAACATCATCACAAAGACACAATATACCCTTGAACTCAACCAGTAGCGGGTATTATACAAATAAATAAATAGGCTAAGAGCATAAAAATGCAGCATGACCCTGAAACTGATCGTGAATGGAAAATGTCTGATGAAATGCACCCAACGAAGAATTCAATCCGTATTCGAATCCAATCTAAGGTCTACCATGCGGTGCTTCACTTCCGCGGTTACCAAATCGACTTTGACTTTCAAATTTTCCAACGCTACGTTGTGGCTATCTAATGGAGCCGTTAATGGTTAAACACATGAAGTATTTTGCCAAATGGGCTCGACTTGGGACAGTTAATTGCTGATGATGCGATGATTTGGAACCGGATTGACAGTGAGTAAGAGAGAAATACGGGGATTTAGTAAGCACTGCTTAAGTTTGGTTAACACATTTTAATAGACAATTAACTAGTTGTTTATTTAAATTTTCTTCTTCCATTTTTAACTTTTGTATCGCGATCTCATTAGTTTTTTTGTTTTTTCTTGGTATTTTGATAGTTACATAAATCTCGGCAATGGGCAGCAGACGAAAAAAAACTTGCTGCCACTGCACATTTTCACACATAGCCGGATTTTTGTTGTTTTCCCTCTGAACTTTTTATTGAGGGGTTTGGGGGTCTACGCGACTCGAGATTTGAGATTCGGCGCTCATTGAGACTTGGTTAAAGCGCACCCAGCTCATTTGTAGATTCGAATGTCAGCAGTTCACAAGTGCGGAACGAACCGAGCGGCTAACTATAAAAAAATTAAACCTAAGATCGCGCTCACTTTGGATTAACCAGGATAATTAGTTCGCCATGGACTTTGATGAGTTTCGTGAATTTGGCCATGCCTCAATAGAGTTTATCATCAACTACCTGAGGGGAATTCGTGAGAGGTGCGTGTCGAGGAGAAATGGAAAATCCTTGAAGACGTGTTCATAAATCTCTATCTATTCCCGTAGAGATGTCCTTCCGACTTCCCCTCCATATGCGGTGATCAATCAGCTGCCCAAGGAGATTCCCGAGAAGCCGGAACACTGGCGGGAGGTCCTCAAGGATCTGGAGAACATTATCCTGCCTGGCTTGACCCACTGGCAGTCACCTTACTTCAATGCCTTTTACCCTTCGTCCTCCTCGGCGGGATCCATAATTGGTGAACTGCTTATAGCGGGTATTGGAGTCCTCGGATTCAGTTGGGTGAGTCAAATATTTAGGTTATTTGAAAATAAACAAAGTGAAAAAGTGAAATATTCAAAAATATATTTTGAAAAGATTCAATTAATTAATTTAAATCCTTTAAAATCTATCTTGTATTTACGCTTTTTATGGCTTTGTATTAAAATCACTAAAAAAAAGTAATTCCAACAAAGAGAAAGGAAAAAATCTGCAGTGCCCTGTACTAATTGTACAAATATCAATTAGGGGTTCATTAGAGGCTGTCTTAAATCCGAATCGAATCAGTTACAAGAACCCAGATGCTCACGAACGATATATCAATTAAAATATTACAACGCTTGATTAAAAATCAATTTTGTAAAGAGAGAGAAACTCTAAGAGAGTTTTAAATAAGAAAGAAGAGAAATGTCTCAGCAATAAAGTGGGAACAGTTTTTAGACTTAAACGAGTGTCCACAATAAGCTAACGGTTAACATAAACAGGTGGTGTCAATTGACGTATTAATTGAATTTTTATAACCATCAAATTAACAAGCATCTCATTATAGGTATTATTCCACTCCTATTACCACATTGATGTTTAAATAGGTTTATATTAATGTTGATTCTTTGTTTGGTGTTGCACAATAGGTGGACTTGGTAACTAGCCACTCCACGACAAAGAAAATTGCCAAGTAATTGGTTTTCGATAATCATATGGGAAGAATTATTCAATCGCCATAAACTATAGTTCATGCGCCCGATTTGTTCCCTAATCTTAGAGATTTGTCACGCTTCACGTCCCACTGTTCGGTGCAAATAGATATGACACTCTAAGCAACAAAAGTTTAAGAAACAAAAAGTATAAAAAATGAATTTTCTAGTATTTGAATATACAAAATTATACAAATTATATTATATACAAATATTTGATTTTTATAATAATATTTGATTTAAAAAAAACGCTAAAGAGGCAGCACTGGATGCTGTGAGGAGAAGTTGGTGTATAAAAGCCGGTCGTCACCGGCGATCGGTTTCAGAGTGAACCTCATCGACTTGGAGTAGCGTCAACGGATATATTTTAAATCGCGTTGGGTAAACAAACCGAAAAAGTCAGAAAAACAAAACCAAAATAAACAGAACGTGAAAAGTGCAAATAGAAAACGAAATCGAAACTCTGTTAGCGAAATGGATGCCAAGGAGTTTCGGGAATTTGGCAAGGCAGCAGTGGATTTCGTGGCCGATTATCTGGAGAATATTCGTGATGATGAGGTTCTGCCCTCAGTGGAGCCCGGATATCTAGTGAATCTGCTGCCCTCTGAGATGCCGGAGAAGCCCGAGTCATGGAAAGAAGTCCTTGGGGATATAAATCGGGTGATCAAGCCGGGTATAACCCACTGGCAGTCGCCCAATATGCACGCCTATTATCCAACTGCAACCTCGTATCCCTCAATTGTGGGTGAGATGTTGGCCAGCGGGTTCGGCATCATTGGATTCAGCTGGGTAGGTTCGGATCTTTAATCGAATCGGTTGGTGAAATCTCGCTTTTAACCATTGTTTTGCCCATCTGAATGGGCGCCCATTGTCCGCGATGGGTGAAAGTGACACCCAGAACCCGACAAACAGGTTGCCAATGCAACAGATCGAAGAGAGTTTTTCACACAAATCAATCCACAATTGTCACGACATAATATTATTATGATGAACCTTTAAACTGAGACTGGGATACAATTAAATTTGAATTTATAAAGAATTGATTAGGGTAATCAATATTATGAGATCCAAAAAAAGAGAGTTTACAAATGAACACAAAGAAATCAGTATTATGAAGGCAAAGATTTATAAATTTAGAAATGAAAATAATAACCATAAAAATCATTTAGACATTAGTAACTTATTTTTAAATCACTAATAGCCATTAACTTCTATTTTCTCTTGTAGATCTGCAGTCCCGCCTGCACAGAACTGGAAGTGGTGGTCATGGACTGGCTGGCCAAGTTCCTCAATCTGCCCGAGCACTTCCAGCATGCGAGCGAAGGACCAGGAGGAGGAGTCATCCAGGGATCGGCCAGCGAGGCTGTTCTGGTGGCTGTCCTAGCTGCCAGGGAACAGGCGGTGGTCAGCTACAAGGAATCGCATCCGGAGATGAGCGAGAGTGAGATTCGAGGTCGCCTGGTGGCCTACTCCTCGGATCAGAGCAACAGTTGCATTGAGAAGTCGGGGGTTTTGGCTGCCATGCCCATTCGATTGCTTCCGGCTGGAGAGGATTTCGTGCTCCGTGGGGAAACGCTGAAGCAGGCCATCATAGAGGATAAGGCGGCGGGCAGGATTCCGGTGATCTGCATCGCGACTCTGGGCACCACGGGTACTTGTGCCTACGATGATATTGAAACCTTGTCCGCCGTTTGCGAGGAATTCAAGGTGTGGCTGCATGTGGATGCCGCCTATGCTGGCGGTGCCTTTGCCCTAGAAGAATGCTCGGATCTTCGCAAGGGATTGGATCGCGTGGATTCGCTGAACTTCAACCTCCACAAATTCATGCTGGTCAACTTCGATTGCTCGGCCATGTGGCTAAGGGATGCCAACAAAGTGGCCGACAGCTTCAATGTGGATCGCATTTATCTGAAGCACAAGCACGAGGGGCAGTCGCAGATTCCCGATTTCCGACACTGGCAAATTCCACTGGGTCGTCGTTTCCGAGCCCTGAAAGTTTGGATCACGTTCCGCACTTTGGGTGCCGAGGGTTTGAGGAATCACATGCGCAAACACATCGATTTGGCCAAACAGTTTGAGCAGCTGGTGATTGCGGATTCCCGCTTTGAAATGGTGGCTCCTCGAGCTCTGGGTTTGGTTTGCTTCCGGCCCAAAGGTGCCAATGAGATAACTACGCAGCTTTTGCAGCGCCTCATGGATCGCAAGAAAATCTACATGGTTAAAGCCGAGCATGCAGGTCGGCAGTTTTTAAGATTCGTTGTGTGCGGAATGGATTCCAATGAATCCGATATTGATTTCGCCTGGTCGGAGATCGAATCTCAGCTGACGGATCTGCAAAAAGATCAGTCTTTAGTAGCACGCAAACCGGGAAATATGGCCGATCTTACAGAACACTTCCAGATCCACCTGACCAACGAAAATTCCACCCAAGAGAAATCTCAGTGAGAAGGGCGAAACACTCCCATTTGTTTGCAGTTAAACTATTTATGTTTAGGTTGTCCTTAGTTCGCATTGTCGTAGTTAGTTTACCACATTTTTATTAATAAAAAGAGAAGACAAATATGAAAGGTTTAATTGTTGTTTTATTAGTGTAAATTTTTTCCCTTTACACTTTTTGAATCTCCCTCTTCACCATCGATAACTCACCACTAATTTAAAGTTCAAACATCGATAACATTGTTGAGCGGCCATCGATAACATCTCAAGGTCAAAAATCGATAGCTTAGTGTGCCACCACTGGAGCTCACAACAAAATTTCAAAAACTTCGTAACTCAGAGCATTTCTTAACCGTTTCGGACCTAAAGGAAACCAGTGCCGCTTGCCATGCAATGGTAAGAGCCTTTGAACAACTCCAGTAAATTTGGAGGCAGAAGCCACCGTCGGATGTTAACACCAATTAATTTATCTCTTGTTTACCCGCAGTTATAAACTGGCCAGCAGGCGCAGCTTATACAATGCACGGGTGCTCCAGGCGGATCACATCGGGGACCAGCAGCATCGCCATAGTCCGGATCTGGAAACGGCCCGCCAGAATGCCCAGATAGTGGTCATTGGAGCAGGACTCGCCGGCCTATCGGCAGCCCAGCATCTTTTGTCGCACGGCTTCCGGCGCACCGTAATCCTGGAGGCCACCGATCGCTATGGCGGCAGGATAAACACGCAACGCTTTGGCGACACCTACTGCGAACTGGGCGCCAAGTGGGTGAAGATTGATGGCTCTCAGGACTCGATGTACGAGCTGCTGCGCAACACCCAGGGATTGGGCAAGCAAATCAAGCAGCCAGAGCGACCCAACTACGTACAGGTGGAACAGGATGGCAGCCACATCAAACCAGCCATGGTGGAACTCATCGACACCCTATTCCGGCAGCTCTGTCGCGGATTTAAGCTTTCCGATAGAGTAAAATCCGGTGGAGACCTGCAGTCGCTGGACAATGTAATGAACTACTTTAGGTCCGAAAGTGATCGCATCATTGGCGCCTCCTTTCAACAACCAGAAGATCAGTTGGCGGCACGCGAGATCTTCCAGTCACTGTTTAAGGAGTTCGGCAGCATCCTGGGCTGCTGTCTCGAGTATGTCAATATCGAGCACATAACCAAGTGTCCAGTGCAGCAGGAGCAAAGGCCGCTTTATGTGCCCACCGGACTGGACAATGTGGTCGATGATCTCATCCATCAGTTGGACAAGGAGCAGGTGCAAACCGGCAAGCCAGTGGGCCAGATACAGTGGACACCTGCGCCAATGAAAAGTGTGGGCTGTCTGGATGGCAGTTTGTACAACGCTGATCATATTATTTGCACCCTGCCACTGGGCGTATTGAAAAGCTTTGCGGGCATCTTGTTCCGACCCACGCTGCCGCTTGACAAGATGCAGGCGATTCGTAACCTGGGCTTCGGCAATCCACTGAAGATTTATCTCTCATATAAGAAACCCATTGTACGCTGGCTGAAGGGAAACCTACGGCCCCTGGGAATGCTGGTGAATCCGTTGCTCGATCAGCAGGCGGAACGCAACTGGACGCAGCAGGTGGTGGAGATCAGCCAGGTGCCCAGCAGTCAGCATGTGCTGGAGGTGCACGTGGGTGGCGGCTACTACGAGGAGATCGAGAAGCTGCCCGATGACAAGCTGCTGGAGCAAATCACCGAGCTATTGAGGCGTTGTATAAGCAATCATCTGGTTCCTTATCCGCAGGAACTACTGCGGTCCAACTGGAGCACCTCCGCCTGCTACCTGGGCGGTCGTCCCTACTTCTCCACCAACAGCAGTGCCCGCGATGTCCAGCGTTTGGCTGCTCCACTCGGGGAGAGGTCACCAAGTTTACTTTTTGCTGGCGATGCGACTTCGCTGAAGGGTTTTGGAACCATCGATGCCGCAAGGTCCAGTGGCATACGCGAGGCACAACGCATCATTGACTTTTATCTGAATAGCAAGCACTGCGTTTAAAAATCAAAATTGGCTACAAAATATTGTACAAAGTAAGAGCACAGAAACTCTAGTCAAAATTTATAGTAATATTTTGTTGTATTTTTAAGCAGAATACATATGTTTTAATTATGCGTAAAGCGTTAACAATAAAAGCATTAACAACATCAACGATACGATGATAGGACACTAAAATACTAGTAAATATAGCAATGGAAGCTATATTTTATTGCGATGTAAATTCCCTAAACATGTCGCAAATGGAGAATGGTTTTAGATCTGTTCCGGTTTTAAATTTCACACAATCCTTAGTAAATTGGTCCGCTTTTAGATATCTTTTGTATCATAAAATGTATCTATTTAAAGATCAAACCCGAAACAGAACTGCTAAACCACCTTACTGCTCCTGTTCCATTTCATCGGCAGCAGCACTGACTTCCTTCCATGAGTATTCCATGTCCTCGGACTGAGTGAAACGTGAGCAGACGGCCATGCGCAGGAAGTACACGTCCTTGATCTTCGCCGGAACCATGTGGATGTTGCCACGTCCATTGATTCGCTTCAGGAGAGCCTCGTTCCGCTCATTGTTGCCCTTCAATCGGAAGCACACCAATCCCATATTAACCTCGGCGGCCAGTTCGAATCTGGAGTCCCCCACACAGAGATCACCGAATTGCTTGGCAAAGTTGCAATGCCTGCGGATGTGGGCCTGCAGGTTCTCCACGCCGTAGAGCCGCAGGACGAACCAGAGTTTCAGGGCGCGGAAACGACGACCCAGTGGGATTTGCCAGTGGCGGTAATCGGGAGCCGAGCCCTGCATGTCGTGCTTGAGGTAGAGGGGATCCACGTTGAAGGCATTCACCACCCAACTGGGATCCTTCAGCCACATGGCCGAGCAGTCAAAGTTCACCAGCATCCATTTGTGTGGGTTGAAGTTGAACGAATCAGCCGACTCAATGCCCTTCATCAGATATCGGTACTCCGGACAGATGAAAGCGGATCCTGCGTAGGCGGCGTCCACATGGATCCACACATTGTGCTTTTTGCCCACGGGACCGCACTCATCCAAGTAATCGAAGGCACAGGAGTTGGTGGTGCCCAGGGTAACCACAGCATAGAAGGGAATCAAACCCTCGGCCAGATCCTGTTGGATGGCCTTTTCCAATGCCTCGCCACGCATCCTGTGATTCTCCGAGGGCACGGAACGCAGCTTAACGCCTCCCAGAAGACCGGCACGCTCCACGGAGGAGTGAGACTGGTCGGAGCAGTAGCCCACCAGCTTGCCCAGGATGGTGTGGTCATCCCACTCCGGATGCAGCTCCTTCACTTCCTTCAGCTTCTTGGCCTTGGCTCCCAGCAGAGCCACCAAAGTGGACTCACTGGCCGTTCCCTGGATGACACCGCCTCCTTTGCCACCCGAACAGGCGAGGAATTCCGCCGGCAAGTCCAGCATCTTGCCCAGCCAATCCATCATGACCACTTCCAATTCCGTGCAGGCCGGACTGGCGATCCAAGTGAATCCAATGCAGGCAATCGCACCACTCAGCATATCGGCCACGATTGCTGGATACGAATTGGCGGTGGGGAAGTAGGCATGGAACTTGGGACTGTGCCAGTGGGTCACTCCCGGCATGATCACCCGCTCGATGTCCTGCATCACATCCTGCCACTTCTCCGGCTTCTCAGGTGCCTCGTCCGGAATCAAGGGCTTCAAGTATCCGGGCTTCACTTCCGGCAGAACGCGCCTGTAAAAGGGATAATTGCGTTAGCTTCTTGATTGCATTGGGCCCATTCAGGAAAAGCTTTCTGCTAATTGACTGTGAAACTCGGTTAGCACACAAAACAGTGGGAAATGGGGGAAAATGGAAAAAGCATCCCCAACTTGTTGCCACTGGGAACAAAAATCAATAGGGATATGCAGCAAAGTGCTAATGGAAAGGATAAAGAGAGGCAAAGCTAATAACGTAGTAATTTATATTTGCTTTTTCTTCTATTACAAAGAGAGAAAACCAAATGCCTTTTTAAAAAGTATATTAGGGAACTTTATGTTATTTTGATATTAGAAGTACTTAAAATGTTGTTTTTAAATAATACAAAATTTTATATATACAAAAAAATTAAACCATATTATAACCACATTGAAGTATAAGTTGATTCTAGTTGAACCTGTTTTTGTATCAACCGAATGTAAATAAGTAAAAAACTCTTTGCAGGTGCTCTTGATGACACAATATTCAATAACATTGTTTATCTACGGACTCGAATTCAGTTTTCAAGGTAATGGAAACGAAACCGTTAGAATTGGCCAAGAATAATGAACAACCAGTCGTTTTTGCCCAAGGCCTTTGTAAAACAATTATATCTACATAAAACTACAACCTTGACACGCCAACTTGAAAAAACCTTTTTAATGCCGCAATAATTAATTAGCTTAGGCTCAAGAGCAATTACAGAAAAAAACTGTGAAAGTGCTTGGCTTTAAAGTAAGTTAGAAGGTCGCCTGAATTGCCTTTAAAAATATATAATATATATACATATAAACAAAGCAAAGGTTCGATCGGCGACACTTTCCCATGACTAATGCTTAAAAACGTGTGCGAAATGTCATTCACTTGCCCGGAATCGAACAAAACGAACTTTCAAATCAAGCACTGAGGTCAAGCAACAGATTCCATATAAATAACATCTATATGTATCGAACGCAACAAATTAAATTTAATTCAGGCTAATTGAGAAAATCACACATTCTCGCTTACCTTTCGCGTATGTTCTCCAGATATTCGGCTATGAAATCCACCATTGTCTTGGCAAAATCTTTGAACTCGGGGGCCTCCATGTCGATCTTTCAAAGAGGGGTAACGAATCAAAATTAATATAGATTTTCACAGGCATTAGTTATCCCTATGTACATACCGAAACCTTGGGATCGAGCTTATCTTCCAAAATGTTAGCTTTACCATTACCATTTGTTTGTTTAGCTAGCTTATTGTTATTAGTGGGGGGTAATTGGCTCATTTTTAGTTTGGCCAAGTTTTTGCAATGTAATGAAATCGAAACTTGAGAGCTGATAGGAAAGAGCATGTGCGATTATTAAAGGTGGTGTGACTATTTTCAGTTAGTGCTAATCAGTGACAGCTAAGTAGTTTTTAAAAATCAACTAATTACAGTGACACAGAAATGTAATTAAACACGCATAAAAAGCATTATATTTTATTTAGCTACTAAGAACATAAAAGAATATTAATGTAACATAAAACTTATTTTTGGCTTCTGTATGGTAATTAGAATGTTAATGCATTCTTGCATTAATTAAGCTTGGTTTATTTTTTCACAATTCACTTTTTAACAACGTAAACACGTTGGCATTGAAACGGCGACTTGTTGCCAGCAAATAGACACGAAAACCCATTTTAATAGATACACAAAACATGCAGATACCAAAAGCCGAAAAACTAGGCGGTAACTTAGAAATTAAACCAAAGCGAGGCTAGATGCCCAATTTAAGATTAAATATTCCAAATCCAAATTAAGTATACGCAGCGTTGGCCACGAAGTAAATCTTTTCGCATGCACTCATTATGTTGGTCGAGCACTTTAGGCACTTTTCACTCACCGTGCACTTTAGTTAGTTGCTTTTAATTATTTGCACTTGTCGAGCTTTGTTTCCGTTCCGAACTAAATCTTTGCCCAACTTTGTTGAGTTTGCCTTTTATTTTTGTAGCTGGCTGCAAGTGTATATTGTTTGATTACAATGGGGCTGCTGTGCGCTCGGCGTTCGTCTCTTAACTGAGCGCTGCTCGCTCTTGGCCAAGGCTTTTAAAGCCGACGGTGCTGCCGATTCTGCAGGACCGGTTCAAATCGCTGCCGCTGAACTTCAAATTCGGGTCGTAAAATACGTACATTCTGCACTCGATTGATTTTTGCACGTTCTTCGCGGTGATTTTCTCACTTTTACGGAACATGCATTCATTTGCAAGTGACTCAGCCAGTAAAGCAGTAAACTTGATTTCTAAGGAGTGCTATATTTAATCCTCGAGAATATTAATAAAATAAAAAAACAATAACATCAATTTAAATATTTTTAAATTCAATATTGTATAAAATAATACATATGTATATGTATGTTATCTAATTTATAATAAGAAGGAATCTATTTTTATAGTTTTTTAAATTAAAAAGGAAAAAAGGAGTCTGATTTATTTGTTTAAGATTTTAAAAAATACAATATAAAAGCATTTTTAAATATTATACCTATGTATAAACAAAAACAATTTGATTTTTGTTTAAGGTAATTACCCTCGAACATTATGTTCATTAAAACCAGATTGATTTCAATTCTTCTCACGATCTTTGCAAACTGTCTTAAGAAAAGAGAGCGCTCTCCTGAGAAATCCCCCATCGTGAGTCACCAAAAACATGGGTTTTCTTCAGCTTCGAAGAAAACAAAATCACGCAAAAAAGATAAACAAATAGATATTCATAGGAAACACAAGATATTGATAGTATGGCACGCTTTACGCGCATCTGCGTAACCGGTTTTTAGAGCATCCAGTGTTAATGATGTGGCTTTTGAACCGCTCATGTGGTTCTGACGTCAAATAATCCAATCCCCCACTCGCTTTTGCATTGTGCTAGGGGAAATGGACTAAGTCGAGTCTTTTCAATGAAGATAGGGGAGTTTACACAGAAAAAAAAGGGCTCGTTAAACCACAATAAATATAAAAGTTAAAATTCATCTCATTTGTGTATGGGAATGATTTTAAATTGATGTAGTTTTTAATAAACAGCAAAGAAACAAGTCTTCTTTAAATCTTAATATTTATTAAAATCATCTAAACTGTTACTCTTATGTTGTAAAAACATTATAAAATATGGTTAACAAATTTTCAAATTTTATTATAAGTTTGTTGTCATTTTTTTCAGTGTGTGGTAAACGGGTGTCCTCCGGGTGCGAGGACCAACTGTTGCTGAGTGGAGAGGAAAGTGTGTGTGCCTGACATTTCAACGAAGCCACTTTGGCAAATCACTTGACTGAATCAACAGATTTATATGCCATGCCAACGGCTCTGCTTTCGATTTTAATGCGATGGGTGCACCGCCCAGCCACCCAGCCACCCAAAAACACCCAACCACCCACATTATTGTGCTTTCCGGGTGGCTGAAGTTCGGGTCGATTGGGGCGAAGAATACTACAATTTGATTTATGGCCGACTTGAGTTGGAAGTGAATAGAAAAGTCACTGGCGTTTATAGAGGTCGTTGGCGCCTTTAAGAGGGGGATTGCATAATCACTCAGAAGAAGTAAACAAGACTGAAGATAAGCAAAACTGTTTTCCATGCTTCAAACTGGAGAGATTGGAAGCGTCACGTATTTAAGCGTCAGGTGATAAGTCTAATAATAAAATCGATAGAAGCAAAAAGAAATTTTTTAAGTTCAGCAAGCCATAAAAAGATCGAAAGGTTTTTTATTATCCCATTTTTCAACTTAAGTACTTTTAATTACTACAATTACAACGTTGCAATAAACCCTTGATAAGATTATTAATATCAAACCAAACTGGCAGTGGGATTCCCCAGGAGACTGCTCTTTTTCCTTAAAACAGTTTGCAAAATTTGAATTCAACTTGGTTTTATGGACTTAAGGTTCGGAGAAGGTAATTATTATTATAGTAACACAATTTATTGTCGAAATGTCATAATGCAATCCAATCTACACAAAAATATAAGTCAATAAAAACGACAACTCAAGTAAGGTTTAATATTTATTGTTTTTTTCGTAATGAAATTTTCTTGTGGTCTGTGTTTCTTTGATTCACTGGAGTTGTTTTGGCCAGATGCAGATCTTAGGGACCAATTCGGCAGGACGCACGCTCGAAGGACCCAAACGGAAACAACAAAAGTTGAGCCGCAAACGAGAGGCGCACTGCGACCGGATTTAGAACCCGATCGGGAAGATAATGGAAAAACCGATTACATGAGACAAATTTTGGTTGTTTCGCTTCATATTCTCCAGTCAGTCGGGCGAACGCATTAGTTTAGTGCATATTTCAGCAGAAACAGAATCGAAAAGTACTTAGTAAATGCTATTAGGTAGTTACAACTTAACGGAACTAGATGCACCCAGCTACTGCGCGATGGTGGATGGCAGATTGAGCAGCGTGCTCTGTCCGCTGGGCAGATAGGCGACACCGCGGGACCTGGATAGCTGGTAGGCGATATCCTCGGCGGCCTCGATACGACGCAGCTCCACCAGACCGTCGCCGGCCTCGCCGAACGACTTGGCCAGCAAGCCAGCGGCCTCGGCATCACCCTCAGCGGAAATAATCGAGGCCAGCTTCTGCTGCTCGGCCTTCTCCACGACGAAACGCGCCTTCTCGGCCTCCTGCTGGGCCACCTGCTTCATCTCGACGGCCAGCGTGAACTCCCGTCCGAAGGTCAAGTGTGTGAGCGAGATGTCGTCCAGAATGAAGCCGAATTGCTTGGCACGCACGGTCAGCTCCTGGGAAACGCGCTGCGACACCATCTAAAAAGGGGAAACCAACGTTAGAAATGTATTCTAGAATTAAATATGTAAAGATATTATAAACTTGTGTTATTCTAGTAATTATATTCTAACTTTTTAAGCTTTTACCCAAGTAGTATACTATTTTCGGTGAAGCAATCAATTATTATGAAACATTTTAAACATTTTAGATGAAGAGAAAATTAAAAGCAATCAATTAAGTTATTAATAAAATGGAAAATAATGGACTAACGTTAACTATAAACAAAATTAATTTACTCAAGAAAATCATAATTGCCCCAAATGACCTAAGTTAATGATAAACAGACCGGGCTCAGATGCAATCACTGGTAACCCTAAACTAAGTCTTAAGCCTCCACCAAACTAACGATATCAGCTCAACCCACCTCACGCTGGGTGATCAGCTCGCCGGCATCAAACTGGGCAACGACGGCCTTCAGGACCTCGGGAGCGATGGAGGGCAGGACTCGCTCGTCGTAGTCCTGGCCGAGGATCGTGTAGATCTTGGGCAGCTGGTCGGGAATGGGTCGGTACAGGATACGCAGCGTGATGTTCACATTCTGCAGATCCTTGCTGCCTGTAATTACAGGAACGTTGCGGGGCTGCGAGCGAATGTCGAAGATGATGGGACGCTGCACCCAGGGGATGAAGAAGTGGGTGCCCTCGCCGACCACGTTCTCCTTGATGCCGGTGAAGCGATCGAAGATGACCGCCCGATGGCCACCCTCCACATTATATAACGCCGAATTGACAACACCGCCCAAAACGGCCACGCCAAGGCCCATTTGGCCAATGCGGTTGAAGAACTGAGCAGCCATTATCTTCAAAAAAACAAAACTAAAAGTATTAAGTATTATCTTATGGGTTATATGTAAATAAAAAGCCGACTTGACTTGATAAATTTCGTCAGTTTTTTAGGTTAGAACGTCATGGCTAGCCGACAACGTGCTGTTTATGTGTGTTTATCCAAAAATCAAGTGTTTCTTCCACGGATTTCAACTCCCAACATTTAATACTTACTTATTAAAGCTTTTTGGTTTCAATTAAACGAAATTATTGTGCAATTTTGCCCTTTGAATAGAACAAAACACGAAATTCAACCGGACGACCAGTGTTACCAGAGAATAAAATGAGATTTTACCAAACTACTTCGCTACCCACTATTACCTAAAAAATGTAGCAACCTCATTATTTGACACATAGATGGCGCCACTAAACAACTTTCGATTTATTAAAGCGCAAACTTTTGAATCGCTTTTTAAATTGATGTACTTAACCCAGAGCTCGCAAATAACAGTTGACCGTTTTTCATCTAGTGCTCTGGGTGCGAGCACAACCGAAAAAGTTCATACTGTCTCGCTCTCGCTCTGAGCAAGAGCCCCTTGCTGTCATCATTTGTGTTTTCTGTTGAGCACTTTTCGTTGAGCTCTTTGCATTTCGGTCTTTCAATGAGCAGTGCGTAAGGAGCAGATCGAGAAACGCTCGCACAATGAGAGTCACCAAAAGACCGATTGACCGAAAAACTCAATGCAAACGGTCTTGGCATTTACACACACACGTTGAATTCACGAAGACGATTAATATATTTCGTCCGCAAACACGATGTTTTACGATTTGCTTGCCTACCCAGCGGGAAAGTGAGAAGTAGGTTTTTAGAAGTAGGTTTTCGGTTTTAAGTCTACTGGAAATCCTACTTCTTTTAGCAGGCGTAGGGGTAGGAGTTGAAAATTTCGGTCCGCTAAATAAGGGTGGGTTTCTGAAACCTGTGGATTTTTACATAGAAACCTCCTTTACCCCTTCCTTTTGTGTGTCACCCCGTGTATTTTGAAAGGAGAGACGGCAAAAATGTAAGGGGTGAAGGAGGTTTTTGCCCTTCCGCTTGTATGAAGAAATCTCTGGAAAATAGCATATCTTCCACATCGTTTTTCCCGCTGGGTATACGTGCACTGTATACCAATACATATGCAAAAGACCTTTTGCTTCACTGAAAACGACAAAACGGTCCTGGAGCAACCTGAACAAAACCGAATAGAAAAAATCGGTTTCGGTCTGAGCGCAACCGAACCCATTTACGAACCCATAAATCGGTCGTTCTCTGAGACTTTTCGTAAAGGGTCTGGAGAATACTGTTATTAGCAGACAACGAGAAACGGTCGACTGTTATTTGCGAGCTCTGACTTAACCTGAAATAAAATTAATTAATAATTTTTGCACAAATAACAAATAAAAGTTTAAAATTAAATTGTTTTTAATCTTCACTCATTACAACACCCTTATTATTGCGTCATTTCGGCCCGTCCGGCGCCCTTTGGCATCTTCTTGTTTGTGGAATCCTCCAGCTCCTTGGCCTTATAGTAATGCGGAGCCACCTCCAGCAGCCACTTGCTCTCGATCTCGATGACCTGACGCATGTACTCCTTGGAGGTGAAGACCAGTTCGTGATAGAGCACCCACCTGGGGAGCTCCTCAAAAAGCGAAGAGTTTGGGTGAATCATCACCGTCTGATTGTGCTTAATGGTCTTGTAGTGACCTCCTTTCGAGAGTCTCGCCACATGGTAGAAGTACCCAGCCGTGGCTGCCTTGCGAACATTTACAGTCTCTGGAAGACAGCTAACCATGTCGATTTCGACACGCTGCATGAGTCCAACCAGTTGCTCTCTCACATCCCGAGCTCTTTTCATGGATCTGTACTGAATGAAATTCTCATAGCACCACTGGGTGCTGTAATCCGTTTCTGCCCACTGATTGTACACCTGCAGCAGACTCAAATGATCGCCGTGCATGTGATTGAAGTTCTTTCGGGCAGTGTCGGCATGGATTATTTTGTCCTTGGGTCTGTAGAAGATGGCGCTGTTCACTGACAGCATGGCTGCAATGGTCACCATTTCCTCAGAGCATTTGTATCTGAAAAAAAAAACACATGTAAATATAAATGCATCAGAACCTCTAATAAATAATACTTACTTTTCGCTTGCTAGCAGCATCTTGCCCATCATGGGATCCACAGGGAACTCGGCCATTCGTCGACCCAACTTGGTCAACTCGCCATGATGATTTAGTGCACCCAAGGCATAAAGTTGCTCCAGGGCCAAAACCAGTGTCTCGTGCGGCGGCGGATCCAGAAAGTCAAAGTGTATCAGATCGTTGATGCCCAACGCCTTGAGCATTAGCACCGCATTCCCCAGATTGATGCGCTGAATCTCCGGCACAGTGTTGTCCTCCAGTTCGTGCTTGTATGCCCATGCAGTGTACAAGCGGAAGCACTTTCCCGGCGCAGTTCGACCTGCTCTGCCTGCTCGCTGGTTTGCCGATGCCTTGGAAATGGGAACCACCATCAGCGATTCCATGCCAGTGCGGGAATTGAAATTATTCTGCTTGGCAAAGCCAGGATCAATCACATATATGATATTATCGATGGTCAGCGATGTCTCTGCTATATTGGTGGCTAGAATAACTTTTCGCGCATTCGGTGGCGTGGGCTCAAAGATTTTGGCCTGCATGTCACTCGGAAGATTCGCATAGACGGGTATAACGATCAGCTCACGGATTTTAGAGCCCAATCGCTTAACGCGATCTTGCAGAACCTCCTGGCAGGTTTCGATCTCATCCTGACCCGTTAGGAACACTAGAATATCGCCCAAGGGCTGAGTGGCATGGATCTGCAAGACTGAAACGCAGCACGCGTCGATGTAATCCGCTTCCGGGGCCTTCGTGTAAAAGATATCCACAGGATACCGACGACCGGGTATCCGAAAGATGGGAGCATCGTCGAAGAAGGCGGAGAACTTATCCGCATCCAGAGTGGCACTGGAGATGAGCAGCTTCAACTCTGGCCTAAACCGAGCAATATCCTTGACCAGGCCAAACAAAATATCCGTGTGCAGGGTGCGCTCGTGAGCCTCATCAATAATCATCACACTGTACGAAGCCAAATCCGGTTCAGAGAGAAACTCACGATGCAGTGTGCCGTCCGTCATGTACTTCAGAATGGTGCGATCCGAGGTGCAGTCCTCAAAACGGATACTGTAGCCTACCTCGTTGCCCAGCTTCACGCCCATCTCCTCGGCCACACGCGCCGCCACCGACATGGCAGCCACTCGCCGAGGCTGCGTGCATCCGATCATTTTCTTGTCCTTGGTGAAACCAGCTTCGACGAGATACTGTGGCACCTGGGTTGTTTTTCCCGATCCTGTTTCGCCTTCGATGATTAGCACCTGGTGCTCCTTCACAGCAGCTATCAGATCGTCTTTGAAGGGATAGACGGGCAGAGATCGTCTGGTTTCATCCAATGTCAGACGTTTGCGTTCCTTCTCCGTGAGCTCCGGCTGCCGACTGGACGATTTCTCGCGACTACCATCTAATGTGAGGGCTTGAATAAAGTCAATCTGATCATCAAGCAGCAACTCGTACTCCTCCTGCGCCTTGGCATCCTTCGCTCCAAATTGGAAGCGAGCCGAAGCCAACTGTTCAGCTTCCCATTTCTTCTGCTCGGAGTTGGGCTGCTTTTCGAAGTCATCAACCTCAACGTACTCGGCTGAAAAACAATGTAAAGGATTAAAGATATATATATATAAATCACATTGTTTACTTACATCTCTCCCCCTTCTTTAAGTCCTGTGGCATTTGATAGCGCTGAATGCGCTCCAATTCCCGAGCCTTTTCATGCTCCTTAGCAATATTTAACAGTTGCTTCTTGTACTGACGCTCCTCCTTCTCCCTTTTGGTCAGGCTGCAAAAGAAAACCAAGTTATGTTGTTTTCAGACAGGTGAAATAGCCATGAACCTACACGCTCTCGTCGAAGAGATACTCATCGTCCAGAATGTCCGCCTCCAGTTCGGCCACCTTGTCGTCCTTTCGCTTTTCCAAGTATTGGCGACGTGACTGCAGCCGCAAGTGGGGCACAATCTTGTCCCGATCCTCATGCTCCAGTTTAAGGCGCTTGGTGGCCTCTTCGATAGCCTTGCGACCTCCGGTGGAGTCCACCACCTTACGCGTGCGATCCTCATCCCGCTGTTTCAGTCTGTTAGCGAACTCATCGCGCTCTTGCAGATCTTTCAGACGCGACTCCTCCTCACTGTCCGGCTCCTCGGCACTGCTGCTGCTGCTAGCCGTGCGTTTCCTATTTTTAGAGGACATTTTCACAAATAAACAACTAAGAGGTAAAACCAAAACAATGTAGAAGAAGAAGAAGTGACCGGCTCCGATTGACACTGCGATAACTGAGAGAGCTGACAGCATAACTGTTTTCTGTAGGTATTCTAGCTATTTTCTAGTACTGCATATTTTGTTTATCTTTATTTAGCCGTATTGTTCAAATTTAGCAGCACTGATAGCCTATCAGCTGTTTTAGTTTATATCTCACCTCAGTTTCAGAATATGTCGCGCCAATTGAGTTTTAATCCGCAAAAAGAATATGAGTTGATAGAATATCCTGGAAAAGTGGTTAATCCTGACCGGATGATAGCCACTCTTGGCGGCATTATCAATATTTCAAAGGTAAATACAGTAATCTAATAACAACCGGTCTTGCTGATAGTCCCACCCAAAAACTCAGGTCCTAGGCGACGAAGTAAAACGTTTGGCGTTGCACTTCCATCCTGAGAATCCCTACAATAAACCTACTTTTGGAGATTGCACAGATAAAACTGGAGTCCTGCTCTCAATAACTGTGAGGCGTCACAAAAAAGACAAACAACGACCTCCGGAATATTTTGTTCGGGTTTTGGGTCACTGCAGCCGAAGTTTTACCTTTGAAAGTATGTTCCAATTTGGGATTAAAACACAGCTTAATATTCTAATGAGATCTGCACCCTTAGCTCTATGTGATTTTCAATACTTACCTCTTTGGCCAACTCCAAAAAGTGATAATGCTAATGCCGCTCAGGAACTTACCTACGCTTTGGATCAGTTGAAACCCAAGGATACTTCCGATTTGGATTTCTTCAAGTGAGTAAAAAGTTAAGCTTTTAATATTACCTGTAAGGTAAAACAATTTAATCTTCCCGCAGACGTCGTCATAATCAACTTCTAGCCCTTCCTGAATTGTTTGCCCACGTAGACGTGGTCTATTCAGGCACCTACCGTCTCGATGGAACAGAAGATGGCCAACAGGAAGTGCTGGGTGTACATTCAAAATCCTCCTATGACAACCAAGGTGTCGTTTCCTTCAACATGGTCGACAGTTTTCCCACGCAAGCAGACTCGCAAAATCTGAAAAGACTCAAAGTAAAATACGTTTCCGATGAGCAGTTGGCCGTGGTCAAGAAACTATTCGACGACTGTCCAATTTGGACCAGGATCGCCCTGCAATACGAATCTGGCTTGACCAACGACAAGCTTAAATGCATTACACCTTCACTGGCTTTTTACTTCAGCAACGGTCCGTGGCGAACCTTGTACGTACGGTTTGGTTACGATCCTCGCAAGGATTTCCATAGTCGCTACTACCAGACGTTTGACTTCCGGCTGCGTTTTAGCACTGGCCTGTCCGAATTTGTATACGCGAAGAAATTAGTGAAGCAACGAAGGGCAGCGAATGCTCCTTTTGCGCCAATCGAAGATCGCGTCTCCGATTTAGTTCAGGACATCGATTACCCGTACTTCGATGAGCACAAGCTGCCGCGTTCCCGGCAATGTATGCTGCGTTACTGCGACGTTCGCATGGTGAAGATCCAGGAAATGCTTGAGAAGATTCCCACACCGCTCACCGGTGCAGTGTGCAATGAGCGAACCGGTTGGCTGCCACCAGGATTCGATGCTCAGGTGCGTCAGATTGTCTGCGCCACCATCAGCGAACTTTTGCGCAATCATTACCGCAAGGAGAACCTCACGGCTGAGGTGGAGGCGGTTACCCAAGCCGACGATGAGGAGGAGGACGAGCCCGAGGATGAAGAGACGCAGGAGGAGGACACGGAGTTGGACGAATCGCAGGCCGCAAATACTTCGGAACAGTTTGTAGACAATGATATTGAGCAGCTCTTTGATAACATAACAAGCTGATCAGTGATCATCACCCAATTAAATAATAATAAAACAGAAATTAAAAAAGCTTTCAGAATTATAAAATAATCTGCAAGGGTATAACCATAAATAATTCATTTTAATGAAGCATAGGCGCGGCCTTTATTCATAGTAAGATATACAGACAAGTGTATTAATTCATTTTTTTAGTAGCAGAAGCTGCAATTAGGTGTTGCAAGACAATGCTCAATATTCTTAAATGCTGGCTGAAGGAAAAAGTTCCCTTTTGCTGCTTAGGGCCTGCACCTGTCGAGGAATCGGGGATACAGACAGACTTCACGGATGTGGTATCGGTCTAGCAGCCAGCACAGGAAGCGTTCCAAACCCAAACCGTAGCCGCCGTGCGGCATAGTTCCGTAGATACGCTGGTCCGTGTACCAGTAATAGGGTTTCGGGTCGATGCCCTCGCGCGCATATCCCTTAAGCAGCTCCTCGCTGTCGTAAATCCTCATCGATCCACCCACAATCTCGCCCACATTTGGAAGCAGTACGTCCACACTCTCGGTCAAGCGCTGATCCTCCTTGCAGCGCTGCATGTAGAAGGACTTGATCTCCGCCGGGAAACGACACAGCATAATGGGCTCGTTGATCGTATCCGTCATCTTGCGCTCCGGAGCCTCGGGTATGTCTTCGCCGAACTCGTAGAAGGTGCCATCGTCCTTGGTCACGTTGTTTTCCTTCAGCCACTTGATGGCATCCTCGTAGTTCATGCGACGGAATGGCTTCTGCGGCGGCTTGAACTTAGGGTTAAGCTCCTTGACCAAATAGCCCCAAGGCGAGTTCAACACACGATCCACCACATCGCAGACCAGATCCTCCAGTCGATCGAGCAACTCATCGAACGTGATGAAGGGGCACTCGGCTTCCACATGAGAATACTCAGCCAAATGGCGGCGCGTTCGGCTCTGCTCCGCCCGATAACTCTGGGAAATGGTGAAGACATCGCCCAAAGCCGGCAGGCAGGTTTCCAGATAGAGCTGCGAGCTCTGCGTGAGGTAGGCCTCCTCGCCAAAGTACTTCAGCTTGAAGAGAGTGGAGCCACCTTCCACCTGGGTTTGCACCAAAGTCGGTGGCGTTACTTCGTTGTAGCCACGTGCCTCGTAGTGAGCACGGAATGCCTGTGCTACCACGGAACGCATCTTGAGCACCTTCGAGGTGTTCTCTCCGCGGATCATGATGTGCCTGTTGTCCAGCTGAACATCCGGTTGGGCCTCCTCGTTGAGAATGGCATCGGCACCGCCGGGAGGAGCCAAGCCAATCAGTTCCCAGTAGTCCACGTTGAGTTCATGGCCACCGGGAGCCGTCTTGCCTTCCGGAACCAGCTTCAAAGTGCCGAAAAGCACCACAGAGCTCTCTGTGCTCAGGGTAAGGGCATCGTAGGTCTGGCAGAGCTGATCGTTTAGCACGCATTGCAGGAAGCCAGTGCCATCGCGCAGGGTGATGAAAATTAGGGCTTTTCCCTGACGACGCAGTCGATGCACCCAGCCGTAAATCTTGACACGGGAATCCCGGTTGGCGGTGCCCTCGAGGATGCGAATTTTACGAGCCACTGGCAGGCTGGGATCCTCCACGATCTTGATCTTGCGCGCCTCCTCCAGATTCTGTTGGCGCTTCTCGGCGTCCTCCGCCTCGCGCTGCTGCTTCTCGGCGTTTTTGTGCGACTCTCTAACGAAGAGTTTCTGGATTTTCTTTAACTGCGATTTGGCAGCCGGTTCAAAGGGCTCCGTTGCATTGGGATCCTTGCTGTCCACGTAAATCGTGGGAAAGGGCTCCTTGCCCGCATGACGCATCGCCTGCAGGATTGTCTTGAATGGTTTCGATTCCGTTCCCTCACCACTCTCATCGCTGCCCTTCTTTTCGGATGTGAAGAGAGCACCTGCACATGGTCGTACATATAAATATTGCACATTATAGATCGATACTTTCGGCCGACTGACAACGTGGACGAAATAGTTTGTCCGTGTCTTTATTGATTAGCTGATTTCTTACCCAGACTTAACTCGGCCAACTGATCGGCAGGCATCTTGTTTGCTTTATGACTAATATTTTGCTGAGAGCCTTCCTTATATCTCACAATTATCTCGACAAAATTGCATCAGCTTCAAGCTAACTTTGTCGAAACGATACCTTACGCCGGATACTCGATTGACCGATATAAGGGGAAGTGTTGCAAAACACCGTTTGTCAAACAAAACTAGCAAAACTTTAAAAAATTGAATTTAAATAATTACTAATAGTTAATAATTTCTACGTCTCGTATAATCAAAAAAGTAAACAAAAAAATAGACAGCTGTATTTGGCTTATTTTTCACAGAGCTCATCCTTTTTATCGACAACTAAGCATGGTGTTTTTTAGTACATTTCACCTTGTGTAAAAACGTAAACAATTCGGAAAAGAGGAAAATGCCCTCGGAAAACAGGTGATTATAGAAAAAATAGGAAATAGGAAAATCAAAAACACAGTCGGTTCAATCCTAATACTTCCACAGAATCAAAATACTGCCAAAGGCGGTAGTTTGCGAGGAGAGCAACTTGCGCGGTGACATCACTTTTTCTTCGGGATGTGTAGTTCATCCTAGTGCCACTGTTATTGCCGATGCAGGACCCATAATAATTGGGGAAAACTGCATCATAGAGGAGTATGCCACCATAGCCCATCGCTTAGAGCCGGGAGCTACTTGGGATGCAAATAATATCTTAAGCATTGGAACCCATAATGTCTTTGAAGTGGGATGTCAAGTAGAAGCTTCCCGAATTGGCGACAAGAACGTATTCGAAAGCAAGAGTTTTGTAGGCCGTGGAGTTACTGTTTCCAGTGGCTGTGTCGTGGGAGCAGGAATTAAGATCCATACCAGTCAACGTTTGCCAGAAAACACCATTGTTTATGGCGAGCAAGGACTTCAGAGAGAGGCCATCGATAAGCAGGGATCGCAAACGCTTCAGATCGACTTCCTTCGCAAGGTTCTGCCGAATTATCACCATCTCCGCAAACCCAACTATGATCCCAAGAAGGCACGCAGCGTTGTCTAGTTTATAGTCTCTATTTAAAACCTTATGTATTCTCCGCTTTTACCGAATTAAAATTAGTCATCTCTTTTTCAAAAGTTGCTATCGTGTGATCACATAGTCCTTCGAGATCCTCAAGTCCACGTTTCAGGATATCGACAGCTCGATCTCGGTTGGATTGAATGCGAAAGTGCAACTTTTGCTCTGTGGGATGGGGAATCGTATAGCCGCAGAAATCCACCTCTGGGTACCGGGCAATAATTGTTTTCAGTGCATTGCCCAGCGTGTGACCCTCGTTGGTAAACACAAAAGTGCGCGATCCTTCGCCGTTTTTCTCATCGCCAGCTAGCTAAAATGCAATATGTTAGTTAGAACACAAAATTCAGTAATTCGTTTATTAAAAACCTCTGCCAAAGCTCCCATTTTAATACTTAAATAGTTTCTGCTTTGTTTACAAAAAACGTGCGAGGCACATGCCCTTACAATCGATTGTGTGCCTATCGATTGTCCATCTATCAAACAAGCTACAAGTGGCTAGAATTCAACAAAAAATAGCTAACAAAGAGAATTTGTTTACTCATAAAAAACAAATTTTAAGTTATTATATTTTTTTATTTTGATTTATCATTATTACTAAAATTAATTTGATTATTATCTTTTTGATATTTTAATAAAAGCTGTCAGAAAAACATCGGTTGAATACCGATGTTTCGATTCCACACCGATATCGCGTCCAACTCTAGTTCTTGACGCGGTTTTCAAGTCTCGGCATTTGCCATTGTGTGTTGTTTGTTAATTTGCTTCGTTCTGTGGCCAATTTTTATTGGAGGCCAGCAGCAAAATCAGTTTTTGCGGTGTGGGCCGAAAAAAACAAAAAAAAGTGTCGCAAACAGCCGCATTAGCATAATTGCATGCCGCCTTTTGCATGTGTGTGTAATTTGTTTGAAAGCATCAGCAGAAAAGGCGGCAAAAAAGAGAAGCAAAGAGGGAAGTTAAAAAAATAAAAAACAAAAACAAAAAAACTGCAACGGCAAACATAATTATTTTCGCAATGCAGCCAACGTGAAGTTGCTCCAAAAACACCGACACTCCGCCAAAAACGCACACAACGAAGCAAACGGCACTTCATTTTTATGCTTTTCGTTTTGTTTTTCTCTGCATCCAGCGCACGGCAGGAATAAACTGCAATACAGGTTTGTATAATGCACACAATTTGCTTATCAATATTACCACATAAATATTCCAAATATTCGTTAAGGAGAACAAAATGTCATTTAAATTTTGTTTTTGGCCACGCCCCCTTTGAGTCCCGAAAATTATGCAAATTCATACACACATGCAAAAGCAGGCAGCTGCCTCTGTCGTTGCGCAGTCGACGTCGCTGCCTCTGAAGGCGGAAGCGCTCGCTAAAAAATACCAGTTCCAGGGGCTTAAGCTTTAGCTTTAGCGTTACTTTGCCTGCTGTTCTGTTTTCTTGTCGTTATTACCAATACGTTAAACTTAAAAAAGTACCCAAAAAAACAAAAATAAAATGGAAACAGTTTATACCGTTAACAGTTGAAATTTTAAATATGTACTATTATTAAAAAACATTTATTTTTCAAATAAGTGGGCGATATATGTATGTACATAGATAATATAGTAGTAAAATAATATTTTAGCAAAAATATTTGATACCTGAAAGGACTCAAGCGCCTGATGATATTTAGCACTTTTTATCGTATGTCTCGGCTCCAGGACATCCACCTTTAACTTCACTTTAGCCAATATGCACTGTATTTTATTTCCACTGGTTGCTACGGTCCTTCCTCTCCCCGCCCGAACCCCTTCGGTATCCTGCTGGCTCCTTTGCACTCATTTGTTTGGTGGTGACTATTACACACACAAGCACACGCACATCTGTTGTGTTTTGGTGGTGACTAATGCGGCAGCATGTTCCGTTATCTCATGCGTTCCCCCTCCGCGCGCCCACGCGCTTGAGCTTGTGTTGTAATAATCACTTCGTAGGTGTGTGTATGTCTCACGTTTCGTTTGGCGCCATGCGTTCCCCCCAATTTGCAGTTGTTGCAATTTGGTCTAGGCTGTGTTTCGTTTTCATATCGTTTCCCCCATTATGTTGGGCGCCCTTTTTGTTGTTTTTACATGGGCTGCAGCGCTGCATGTACGTTTGTATGTATGTAATTTTACTGCCGGCGTTTGTATTGTGTATGTGTGTGTAAAAGAGAGCAAAGCAGCTGCTCTCTCCTGGCCAAAAAAGGGGTTCGCTCTCTCTCCTGGGCTAACTCTATTCTTATTTTTATGGTTTTTTTTACGTTTGCAATTATTTTGGCATTGTAGTGGTTACAACAAAAGAATTGCATTTGGGCGTCACGATCGTCGCAAAATGGAGAAGAAGCAGAAAGAGACGTGCGAAATGGTTCTGGGAATACGATACAGGAGGTTCTCGTTTGGCCCCCTGTAAATAAACACAAACCCATGTTGAATACTACGTTATATGGCCCTGCATGTGTACAGGAAAAAAAAAACTTCCCTTGCATATACTCGCGAAACTGATTCGTAAACAATTTCCGCACTCGTGTGTAATATTGTACTCTAACTTATAATAAACTCAAACGAGCAGAACCTGCAGAAAAATCCAACACCGAAAAAACAAATATCTTAATATTATAGTTTTTTTTTTTTTTTTTAATTGTTTAAATGTTACTAGAGAGTAAAACAAGTTCAAGATCATTTAATCAAAATCACAAATCTTCATGCAGATTTGTTTTTACCAAATTCAGTTTATTCTCCCTGATTGTGTGAACCTAGCCTACACTATGTCAGTGTAGTTATACTGGCGAATAAATGGCGGAGCTGAACTGGGACCGAAATTTTGAGCTCTCCCTTGAGTGGAATATCTTCCCATGAGTATTGGAGATATCTACTTGAAAATACCTATCAGGATGCTGACACTCACTCTACAGTGGTATTTCGTTAAAAAAAACCTTTCCTAGTTCTGCGTTCTTTTCAGATTAGCAAGTTAGGAGTAGGTTCCATAATATTAAGTATGTACTTACAAATTTACAACAATTTAATAAAGTTAATTAGTTACACAAATTGACTGTAAGATGAAATGGACTAGTCACTCATACATACGTTAAAAATGTTCGCGTTCTGTTTCAAGTGCCCATAGTACGAAAAATTTCCAAGGATGCTGCAGACACCGATAAGCCACACGAAATAAAATAAAATAAAATACGCAGACGGCAGGGGGTGGGGTGGTTGAGAGAAATGGCACGAAGAGTGAAAGGGGCCAAAGGGGAGCCGGGTTCAATAGCAGACAGAATAAGGTGAGGTGGCAATGGCACAAGACGAAGATGAAGAGCACGGAACAGAGAACAAGGAACAGACGGAAACACGGACACGACAACGTGATATTTTAACATCCTGTGCAGCGAATCACGAAGGAGGTGGGGAGCGCCATAAAACAGGAAAAGACGGCAAAACAGGAGGCGGAGGAGAGCAAAAACCTGTCATCCGCTGCCGGCTGCATTCGATACGTGCTAAGAAAAGCAGGAGGAAAGAAGGAGACAGCGTCGCAAAAGGATGAAGCTGCAAGCATTTTTAGAATTCCCAAAATCAACATAAAAAAAATAACAAGTAAATAAACGATGGTAACCGCACAAACTACACCGTAAAGAAATAATGTTATGGACTAAAAATCCATATTTTACAAATTTAAATTTAAAATAATATAAAATGTCTCATACAACGGATACAAAAAATTTTTCGCAAATATTGATTTTAGACTTCATTAAAAGATAATAACTTTTATAGTGTATTAAGAGCAAGTCAAAAGGAAGCTGAGTCGAATGCCTCCCCCTTCTTTAAAATTTCTTTTCTCTATGTGTGCGTGATCTCAGTCCAGACGCAGCAGCAGCGACGTCGACAGAGAGACTTAAAACAAACAAAACCATCACATGCATTTTTCTCTTATTTCCCCTTTGTTTAGGTTTCCTTGTTTATAGTCTTAGAAAGGGTATCGAAATTTTGCAATGTTTAAAAAAGGACAAAAGGCAGTAAAAATTTCGGCTTACCAGTGGCTTAGCCGTAATTGCCAATCGCGACATCGAATTTTAAGTCCTTTGGTGTACAGCTCCCTTGCTCTCACTAAACATGTGCATAGATACATATGTATCTTCCGAAAAACCAATAGTTCTTTTATAAAAAGTGTTTTTTTTTCGACAAGACATCATGATTTTTTAAATATGATAGTAATGTTGTAGCAGTAGCATAAAATAGTATTGTGAATTTAATGAACTTTTACTTCCTTATGTTTCTACAGTTTTTTGGTAATAAGAAATTTTAAATACAATTAATCTCAAAGGTTCGATTCAGAACTTTCCATTCAAAGTGTGTCTTTTGATTTCCGGCCTGCAGTTTCAGGTGAACTGAAAGGGAAATGGCAAAAAGAAGAGCACCATCGTTCCTTGTGGTTTGCTATTGAAATGAATGTTTTATATTGTGCCTATATTATTTTGTTCCTTTTTTTCACTGTATGCTTGAAGGGATTTGCATAATACGCTCTAAAGCAGCCGTAAAATGTGTCCGATGCTGTCTGTTGCCATCGCACATATTGCCGATGGGTGTTGATGTTGTTGCTGTTGTTGGTGCTTTTCGTGGTGGTTGCTGTACGGCCTCAAAGGACTCGCATCCCCCTGTGCATGTCCTGTGAGTCCTGTGCCTAGTTTCATTTCATTTTCGTTTCACTTTTTTTTTTTTTTTTTTGTTTTTGCTCTGTTGCTTCCCACTTTTATTGTTGAACTTTACAGCTGCCGCTTTCATTTCATTTTATGTTACTTCACTTTTTTCCGTTTTGTCCAACTTGCATTTTTCCCCGCTCGCTGTGGCTTATTTTTGGCAGGGGTGGTTTTAACTTATATGGAACTTACGACAGCATTTTGTATGCGTCTGACTTTGATCCCTTTTCCGGGGGGTGGGAGAGCTCGGTCGTCTGGCCACCCCCTCGGCAGCATTTCGGGAAAGTGTCTTGCAAATAAATAAATAGTCATGTCAGCCATATTATTAATGCCTTCCCGTGAAGGAAGCAAGGATCGAAGGCTGGAGGCAGGAAGGTAGCTTAAGGTCTACGTTCTCGTGTGCAGATGGGTGGTGGGTGCCGAGGGGGTGGCGCTAATCAACCCTCTTGGGCTGCCGACAAAGAAAAGGGGAACGCATCTTACCACGAAAAATACATTCAGGCACAATAAGTACAGTGGGCATACTAGTTGGGGAATTTAAAAACGGAAAGTTTCGTAAAAAAAACAATTAAAAAATAATTCAAACTATTATTAGATTTTATACAATACTTTGATCAAAGCACATTCACCAAAAAACTTTTCTTAAATTGTAGGGACTTATTTTTATAATCATAACATTTTATTTTATTTAAATTGAAGGGAAAATTAATTTAAAAGTAATCGAGGTTGAGAACAATTTGCGTGTGTTTACTGTAAGCCAATATATATATTCAACTACGCATTTCTGTCTGTCTGTTCGCGTTTGGGGTCAACAAACCTTTGGGCCAGCCCCCAGCATCAATTCTGCGTGTGTGTGTGTGTGTGTTGGGAGAGTGCGTGCGGGCGAGTATTGGTGAGTGCGAAAAGTGAACGATTTTCCAGCAGAGCTCAACTCAAACCAAAACCCCCCTGTTGAAAACTGGCCGACACTAGCACGTTCTACGCATTTTTGTGCATTGACCCCAGACAGACGGAAGACCCCCACATACACACACATCCATACCACCCATGACACCCCCCATGACACCCCCCAAACACCCTCACAAGCGCACACACATATGATTTCCTCCCCCTCACACATACACGCACATCTGTTTGTTTGCATAGTACAATGGCAACCCTCGCTGATTTGATTTTCATATGTTGAATGGGATTTTGAGGGTGGAATGGATTCGGATTCAACGCCCTGCGTTTGCTCGTTTGCTTTACTACACCTTTATCGGAAGTTTTATGAATTTTTGTATATTATTTTTTTACGATTTTATATATTAAAATATTCATGCTACACTTTGCAGTACACGGAAAAAGAAAAACGTTTTTATCTTTGATCTCACTGATTAGTGGTATAAGTTCAGAAAATTCAAGATTTAATTTTTGCAAAAAATAAAACATACTTACTTTTGATGCGATTTTCACTCAACTTTCTTTAACGAAAACAATTAAAAATTGTTTAATGGCTTGTGATTGTTTTTATTGTAAAACTAAACTGAAGAACAGCGATAATTTGAGAACATTATAACTTTCTGTTTTACCTGTGTAGGCTGCGGTATCTTCGATTACAAGTTTATGACAGCATAAAGTCATGAAGCACCTTTAATTGCACTCTCCATAGAGTAGGCCCATCCGCCAGCTTTTGTTTTAGTGTTATTTTACCTTTGGGGGGTACGACGGGGTACATAAAATGGTTTTATTGCCTTCCCCGCCCCCGCGAAGTTATTTTGGGTGTGGCTCTGGCTGCATACAGATTGATGGGTTTTAGTTGAATGATTTGAGAGGACGACGACCGGTTCCAGTTCCTGTAAACCCAACCATTCTGTCTTTGTTTTTCGCTTTTCATTCTGTCCGTGAAATTTGCCGAGCAACGTTATTAAAGGTCATTTACTTTTGTTAACCGTCAGGGGTAGTTTTTCCCCTCTAGTTTCTCGGGTTCTCGTTTCGGCTTCGGTCTCGGATTCTCAATGTCCTGGTCGTCCTTACGTTCTCATGAATATGCGAAAATTTAACGCATGCAAATGGGTAAATTGTCCCAAGAAAACTGTCTTGTAAATGAATCTTTATGGGTCTTGTAAAGAGGGTTGTAAATGGCCTGGGCGAGGGGAGGTTGGTCGGCAACTCTCTTAGTTCGTGGGAATTTTTGTCAAAACTTTTGTTTTAAAATGGCTTTGGGATGGGTATCTGAGCAACGTTTCCGTTTTGCATGAACAGGTTGCCCTTTGTTATTAAGTTCGAGATTCCATTATCATAATAGGTCTACGGGGATCTTTAGTTTAGTTTTTCGTGAACAAGACGAGAGGGGTTATCTCAGCAGAAATCTTTTAGGAGAATTTCGTCTCCTTCAAGCTCCATTTGTGTGATTTTCTCGGAATAAAGGCAACAGCATGTGTTTCTTTATTTTATGTGCTTGTTGGCTTTTTCGCCGCTGTGTTGATTTAAAAACGTAAAGTTTTCAGCTAAGGGAGTACAGTAAATTATCATTAAAATTTACTCACGAAAAGTTTGCATGTTCAACAAACCAACATCATTATTTAATAAAATGTTTGGTTATTTTAAGCATATTAAATGGGATGTTCATTGGACAAAGTCAAAGTTTTTTAGTTATCGGGGTTATGCTGCTTCCACATTTTGGATTTTTCAAGAGGTCTGCCTGTCTTTCTTCCCCTTAACTTCGGTTCTTCACAGCCTTGAGTTCCCGAGTCTTCTTGCACTTGCGTTGAAAACTTCCCCCTCTTTCTTCTCGCATTTGGGGCTCCTCCCCGCAAAAAGTTCACACGCTGCTTGCTTTTGGAGTCTTTAGAAGCGTCTTTGACTTTGTTTGGCTTTCGGTTTACGAGTATATATATTTGTATGTTCGCAGACCAGACGACAAGACAGCTGTTAAAGCAAATTAATCTAACAACAATAATAACAACAGCGAGCCAAAAGAAACAGAGCGGGCAAAAAAGAACAGTACGAGAACTCGCAGACCGACGACTCGAATCTTATATAGTACATATGTACATATATTGAAACATTGTATGTAGAAATATTCAGAGTATAGTTCAGCTGAAACTGAATTTGCTGATAAAACAAAGCAAATGCCTTGGAAGGTGGGACAAAAGACGGCTTGGTATTTGGGGGCGGTGGAGGAGGTTCAAATCTGCCAGTTGCACACATGTACAGTGAATTCTCAATCAGGACAAATGAATTTAAGTTTGAAAGAGACAATACCTAACACCAGAATTTTTAAGTTTTTAATTTTTTCTTCGTACCAAAATCATCTTGATACATTTAACATTTTATTCGTAAGAAAAAAATCTATTCAATAATAGGAACGTAAACATTAGTTAATTGAATTATCTTTTGCTTCTTAGATACATTTGCTTTACAAGATTCAAGATTGCATGCAAATTGATTTTTGAATGTATCAACCGTTATGTTTACATTTGTATTTATCGGCTTACTGATAAGGTGATTCATGTACTTGCTATTAAAAAAGTGCGATTCCGGATTTCGCAGACCAAGTATTTCCGATCGACCACTGTGAACCGCCTATCAAATTCTTCTGAGTTCGTTTTGTTGCTATTTTTTTGGTGTTTTTGTTGTTGCTTCCGCTTGTTGTTGTTTAGAAATAGAAATGATTTCACAATGTACTTTTTGGTGTCGCGCTCAGAGCTTCAGTTGACCGTTTCGTTCCGTTGAGCTAACCTCCCCGCTCCACCTCCCGGTTTTCCCCCCCTCGCCAGTCTTCGAAATCCAACGAAAAGAAAGAAATAAAACAACGTACGAAAAAAAAACAATATAAATAATAAAAATAAGGAATAACAACGAGAAACACAAAACACGTTTTTCAGACTCGGTTTTGCTGATTTCTTATTAGATATTCTTGTGTCCGTCCGTCTCACTCGCTCTCCCGCCCAAAGACACTTATTATTTATTCTTTCGCTGGCCCGCAACTCGTGGCTCTTGGTTTATGGTGATTCAGCTCAAAACGAGAAGTGAATGTGCCCCGCTTGCCCCCTTGCCACGCCTCCCAAAACACTGGCAGAGCAGTAGGCGTCAACTGCGACGCCTGTGGACGCTAAAAAAAACATGATTCGAAAATTTTAAATCTTAACATAACACAAATTAAACTCAGCCCAAAAACTTTTAAATTCCTAAGAAGGTTTCACTTAAACAAATCATCACAACCTTTTTAATCACTTCTTTTGTACTAAAAGTTTTCGCAACAACAAATTTATATTTTCAGTGTAACTCATTTTGCATTTAACGTTTGTGTTCCTCGGTTGTAAAATGTCAGTGTTAAATAATATTGTGTTTAGTAAACCAGAAAAACGTAAGCAAATTTACCGTTGTTGGCGGTGAGTAAGCGATAGATGCAGTGGAGTAGGGAGCGAGAAGGAGACACAAGTAAGGAGAGAATGAAAGAGGCCTAAACTGCACTTGAGCGAGTGAGAGAGCGAGTGAGTGACTGATTGATGGCCAAAGCAGCAGAAACAACAATAAGCCGTGCTTGAAATGTTGTTGCTGTGGGTTCTACCGCTTCTTCTTCCTCCTTAATGAAGGTCAATGTTCGAACGCCAACGCTGTCGACGATTCTTCTGCGATTCCGATTCTTCAGCTTCGACGTTCTTCACTGATTCTTCAGGCGCTTTGTTGTTGATGTTGCTTGATGATTGGCCATTGGCGTTGTTGTTGTTTTGTTCTGCCTGTAGTGGTTCACATCTGATTACACTCTTACAAAAATAATCAAGAACAAAGCTGGGTGAATCAATTATGCATAAAGCTGCAACAAAAATCGCAGAGCCGTTAAGTTTACGACAATTGCGTTGTTTAAAATTAAGTTAATTTTACCAAAAGAAATGTATAAAAATAAACTTATTTATTAATATTCAACCTTATTAGAAAATGGAACAAATCTTTAAAGAAACTATAATTTTCTCGAAACGCCTAACGTTATTTCTTCAATTTTTGTTGTAAATGGTTTGTCTTGACCCGACGCTCTTCTCTCACCCTATTTTCCCTGTCCAATTCGAGTTCATTAAAGTACAAACAACTCCAAATAAAATTCAAGCCATGAAGCTGGTTAATGATACTTGATGTTTTGTGCAGGCGTGGCTTCTCCGCTGGAGTTCCCTTCATTTAATTTTTCATCCAGCATAGACAATCCATATAATTATGGAATAATTTAATTGTTTCAATTTAGAGCTTAATGCCTGCACATGAGACAAGCACCAAGCACCCCTCCAAAACTCGAAACTAATGTTTTCCGGGCTTGGCCCCATCGGTAATCTGGCGGAACCTTTGACCGACCTAACCCTCCGATTGCCCAGAGTAACTCTCCCCAGAGAATTGCCTCCGTCACAAGTTCTTTGGGGAAATTAGAGGGGAATAACCCACTCGAATCGGCAGAGGAAACGTCTAAATGCCCCTGAGAGAAAGGGAGGTCGCTTTTGCCAAGTTCAGTTCAAAGAACTTCCCACATCTGATTAAAGAAATAATCAAGGGTTGTGCGAAATACAAAGAGGCGCTTTTGGACGGAGAGGTGAAAGAGAATTTAAAAGCAAAGCAAATCTCTGGATCGACCCAAAAGTGCCATTTCCGTTGGAACACCTAAAAAAATAGAACAAATTATTTATACAAAAGATTACAAAAAAATGTTAATGCCTTATAGAAGTAAATGTATCTTTTAGCTTCTTACAAATTTTTTATAAAGTAGTAGCATTGGTTTTTTATATACATTTTTTTATACCCTTGCAGAGCAAAGGGTATTATAATTTCAGTCAGAAGTTTGCAACGCAGTGAAGGAGACACCTCAGACCCCATAAAGTATATATATTCTTGATCAGCATCACGAGCAGAATCGGAATACGTCTGTACGTCTGTCCGTCTGTCCGTCTGTCCGTCTGTCCGTCTGTCCGTCTGTCTGTCTGTCCTCCTGTCGGTTTCTATGTAAACTAGTCTCTCAGTTTTAAAGCTATCTTGCTGAAACTTTCCCAAAAGTTGTGGAGTTGTTGCACGCAGTATATAAGTCGGAACGAGCCGGATCGGCCGACTATATCGGATAGCTCCCATACAAGAGAATGAAATAAAAAATTCTTACTTTGTTATTTTTGATCAGATCGACTTGATTCCTTCCAGATGGCGGTTTCTAACTGCTATTGAATTTCGGATTAAATTTTATCAAAATCGGATAACTCTATCATATAGCTGCCATAGGAAAGATCAAAAAATATATATATAAATGAAAAAAAAATTATAATGTCGTTGTTTTCAATGCCACGAGCATGATTTTTGGAAAAATAAAGTTTTTTAAATACTCTTAAATTAAGAAAAAATTTCATAAAAATCGGAATACTATATCATATAGCTGCCATAGAAAAGATCGAAAAATCTATATAGAAATGACGGAAATAAAATTATAACCTCGTTGTTTTTCATCAGACAATCATGATTTTCGGAATATAGAGTTTTCTAATGAGTTTTGAGTTACAAATTAAATTTCATCAAAATCGGTCGACTATATCATATAGCTGTCATATGAACAATATGGAAAATTAATAGAAAAATCGTCATAGCTTCGATGCTCTTCAGCTTTTGTCTATTTTGTTCGACAAATTTAGTAACTGCAAGGGTATATAAGCTTCGGCTTGCCGAAGCTAGCTTCCTTTCTTGTTTTTCAATAAAATGTATAAATTTAAAAATGTTTAATCAAATTAGAATTTCTCTGCTGAAAATACTTTTTGAAAACTTAACTTTTCTCGTTAGCCAACTTTGACTGTAGAGTTAAAGTAATTTGCCGCATCTAATATACCAATTTGGTGCGTTATGAGAAGGAGTCGCTGGTCGAAAAGCACGCGGTTCGTTGGCTTTAAGAGTGTATCACAAGCAATTATGAACGTTGACCTTCTGCCTGGAAAAAAAGTTTCCACTACCCGAAAAAGGTGAAAGAACACACAGGCACGGACCCCAAAAACGAAGGTAACAAAGACATTAGCAGAGGCTGCGAAATGTGCGAGGTGCGGTGGAGAAAACCTAATGACAGCTGGGGGACAGCAAATAAACCAAGAAACCAAGAGCCCGCGAAGAAAATGCGCCACAAGAACATCATCAACAACAACAACAACAACAGAAAAAGTTCTCGATAGCAAAGCAGCTAAGGAAAGGCAAGATAATAATAAAGAAGGCGCGCGTTGTCGACTGCAAAACAAAGCGAATTTTTGGCCAACAGCGCAGACACAAAAGATTCTTCGCCGGAGTCACGGGGTCTAAAGCACATATACCCATATATATATAACCCAGCACTATATATGTTTACATACATATATAGAGATATATATGTATGTGGGTACTATAACCTGGCGCTGACTTTGGCTCTTTTTGAAAGTTGAAATGCTTGCCTAGGTAGAGCCAATAAACGAGTTTGAAACAAAAGAACAGAAACAGACGCTTAGCTAACCTATCTACCATTATACCCCCCTTCCCCCTTCTCTGACCTCGCCACCCCCTTTTTGTTTTTTTTTTTGCGCGTGTGAAGATCGCGAACTTTGGGCGCTTGGGGAACGGAATGGTAACTGGAACAGCGGCATTGAACCGAGTCGAGAAGAAAACCAGAAAGGAAGGCTATAGCTCCGGGGACCAATTATCTATCCCCCTCTCCTTCCCTCCCCCCAAACACACAGGTCAATTTGTGTTCTGAGTTTAAGCCAAGTTTAAGTCGTAAGTTTGCTGGAAGCCCACATACATATTTGGTTTGCCACTTGCTGATTTCTGAATCCTTTCTTATATGTTTTTAAGATTATTTAAAAAACCACTAAAGCTTTAGGAGACCATAGGATTTTATTATTGTATTTGTTACAACTTCGAGGTCAAGGATGTACTATATATACTTCAATGAATACATTTAAAAGTCAAAACTAAAATCCACCTCAAGTAAAATCCCAACTGTGCAAGAGTTTCAGGTGAGAAAGGTCTCATCCCTCCAGACAACCGCCCACCACCCCCTTTTTCATTAAACCACTCGAGCTGAGAAATTGCCCTAAAAGTGACAGTTAAAGCCGGGCATAATTAACAACGTTCATCAATTACATAAGAACATCCCACACATAGAAATCCCACCTTGGGCAGCAGGCCGCAGTGACAAAGCTCTTAAATGAGGCCTAAACTACCCAACTCCCACCCGAAATCACCCGCAGGGATGCTTTTTTTTTGTGTACAGAGCATAATTAACGTAAAGTGTTTCGCAGAGCAAACGAAATCAAAAAAAGGAAAGGAAGAGAAAGTACGGGAGATCCAAAGGACATGTTGGAAATAATGCGTGTACTTAAGGGCTTTTATACTCTACCTAATGGCTTTATTATCTGTTCAACAATTTGGCCGACAATAATGGAAAGATATTAACAACTCAATTATAATTATGTATAAGCAAAACTCATAGAGATTCATAAATAACAAATACTTTTTTTCCTGTAATCAAATATGTTGTCATTTAAAAAAAAAATCATCAAATCTAACATGTTTAACTATTTTTATTTATTTTTAGAAACCTGTTAAACTTGACCTACGGTTGAAATATTACGACTGACATTGAGTAGATTATGCGGTAAGTTTCATACAATGTATTAAAACTTAGAACATTTGAATGCTAATGTTGTAAAGGTGGAAGGGTATTCAGCGTTGGGTTAGTTTGGTCTATCTTGTCGGACTTATTTTATACAACCGCATAGACAATAAATCTATCTGGAGACCGCTTTGGCATCTTCCTGTCTCGTTTTTTCGGCCGTGTGTCCTTCGTACTAGAAACCCAATACCTGCCAGCATGTGAAGCGAAGCTCAATGGAGTGAGTTATAATGGGAAAGGCGGAAAAAGGGACGGACGTTGGCTTATTCATCATATCTCACGTACGCGTCTGATGTCTGGAGTAGCTCCTCTTCTTCTCATTTGTATGCCATGCGGGTGCCCCTTTAGAGGGAGACAGAGTATGCCAAGAAAGAGATGGAGATGTTTTATGGGACCCCACATATCGAATGCGAAACATGTGCTAATGCTGTTATTATTTATATTCTTATACCTGGCACACTTTTATACATAAAGGGTATATTTTATTCGTTCAAAATATATAAAAAAATATTATTTTTATTTAACTGATAACTAAACATTTATAGTTCCTATTTTCTCCTACTTTCAAAACATTTGCAATAGAGTTTCTTGAGATCAAACAGGATATTTTTTGGTCGATACTTTTGACCTCGACTTGTAGCTTGCGGTTTCCGCTTCCTTTCCAAAGGTCGTCGTCTATTTAACCGCAGGACATTTATCAAGAGATTGTGCTGATGGAACCACAGATTTTATTTCACTTTTCGATGTTTTAATGCCAAATTTTGCTGTGCGATAGCAACAAGTTTGTGACTTTTTTTCTGTCTATTTTTTTTTTGGTTTTTGTTGCCTATTCATGGTCCGCAGGTCGCCGGTTAGTTGGTTTATTGACATCGCCGTTCTGCCTGCGTCGACGTCGACGTCAACGTTTTAGCCACACACTTTTTCAAGTTCGTGAATTTTTTAGCCGTTCGTTGACTCTTGGCTCTGTTGTTTTTTTCTATGTCTGTTAACGTTTTATTTATTATGTCCGAACTAATGTCATTTTAAGGCTGTCTCTGTATTTCACTCTACCTCTTTTTTTTTTTATTTATTTATTTTTTTTTTTTTTTTTTGGGGTTTTGCCATTCGCTTCTAGCTAAAAGTTTAAAGTCTCTTGTCGCCCCCTTCGCAACAGTATTTTCGCAACATTTTGACCAAAATTGTGAACTTTCCGAGAAACACAAATAAACATGGAAAGAAAGAGGGGAGCAGCAAGAAAAAGAGCTCAAATTGAAGTTCGGGTTTCAACAAGCTGATTGAAATTTCCTGAGGGGGCGTCTTCTTCGCTTAGTAGTTTAATGCGAATTATGAGGTCAGTGCAGAAAAAAAAAAAAAAAACACAGCGGGAAGACACCGAAATAAAGAAAGAAAAGAAATAAGGGGGCCAGACGGCAGAAGAGAGTTCAATAAAGTGCCCTCATTAGCTTTAATGTAAGGGGATATGGTGGGCGTTGAAAACCGAGAACGATCGGCCTCGAACCTTCAAAAGTGTCCCCAAGAGATCCCCAACCGTATGCGGGCCAAGTGGCTAAGGTTACGTACTCAATTCCTCAAAATTTAAACTGACAAAAAAAGTAAACAGAAAACTAAGAAATTCCAAACATGATTTGTTTTTTTGTTTGGCGTTCGTTGGATTATTATTCTTAGTATTCGGTTGCTTAATCAAATTAAGAATTTATAATGAAACCCTATTAAGAATCTTATAGTCACGGATAAGTCTCATATTTTCTGTAATTACTGGTTTTGTATTTCAAAATGTCCAAAACAAACCCCAAAACTAGTTTTAGTATAGTATACTATACCTTAATAAAGAATCTTTAACCTTAAAACTATATTTGTTTCTGGGTTATAAAAACAACAATCGAAAGAACTCACAATAATTATGCCATGCTTAAATCGGTCATGTTCCGGAACCAAAAGGTGTAACTAACTGTTTATAATACTAACGCGCAGATCCATTAGTGACATAAGAACTAACAAATGTGTTTTATAGATGAGAAGAGAGCATGCAACACTTTCAGAATTTCCACCACTTCCTGCTTTTGTAAGAGAGGCTCGATCGAATGATATGTAGCGCTTAAAAACCCGACTTCACCTGGCATTAAAATGAGCGACAGAGACGGGGCGATCATGAGGGAAAGAGAGAGAGCGACAGCTGCAGCTCATGCTGCTGCTAATTTCCGGTTTCAAGTGTCACATTTTTTTTTTTTGTTCCAGCCCATCGTCTTTCCCAAAAATTATTGAAAGAGCCATAACAAATATGTGATCGTTCGCTGCTCTTGTTGTTTTTGTTGTATTTTATATGGTTTATGGGTTGGGTTTTCCCCCTCCGATCAAGGGAAACATCTGGTGTGTGACAGCTGCTAAAAGGGATCGCTCGTTCGCCGTCCCCCTCCCTCATTTCAATTTCTTTTTCGACCCTCTCACTCTTGCTTATTGGAAATTAGCCTGGCTGGCCGGGTTATTGAATTGTCTGTCAATATGGCAATAAAACTATTGAGGCTAAAGTCGGTCTTCTAATGAACGCTGCCGTGTCGAGGACTAATATAAATCCCCCGTCCATTCGAAAAAAGATATTGCAATTTGAATTTCTTAAAATCATTACATTTCAGTTGTCAACAAATCTTGCCCCTCAATCAAAATATTGTAGGGGTTATGTTTTTAAGGGAAACAACATCACTAAATAAGGTTTTTATTTCCAACAAGAAAAGTGTTTGGTAAAGTAAGAAGTAATTAAAATTAATTTAATTTCCATGACACTAAAACATATGTTTTGCCAACGCCTAGAATACATTTATGACTTTGCACATATTTTTTTTTGTGCCAAGGTTTGTTTTAGATTTAAGTACACATACGCAAATTTTTCCAATTGCCATTAAATTTTGTTAACTGAACCTAAATATTTGAGTTGCATACATGTTTTACTACAAGTCAAAGTTTTTACAGCTTACATATTTATGCGCATGTGTTCTATGTTCGTTAAATAAATCTTAAAAATGTCACTTAAATGCTATTCTGTATTTTTTATTATTGCTTGGTTAGTAAATGTTTTGTGGGCCGATATATTCCAGTTTTGCGAAGTTCAACTGTATATTTTCTGCCCGTAGCGAAAATATTTCAACGCTTGGCGTAATTGTTTTTTCTTTGCCATTGACGGCCTGCTTTTTTGTGCTGTTTCGTATTTGCTGGATTTTTTTGCTGCCGTATCTTTTTGCTACTTTAAGCACGTCGTTCGTCAGAGGAGTAAAGTCGAGGTTCATGAACCGCGGGCAAGGACAAAAGTTGTGGCTCTGTCGGCGGGACAGAGACGGCAATACGACTGTATGGACATATCGATCACATTGGGAGGCTGAGAAAACGGAACAGATATATGTACACTTGTTTTCCTGCAGCAGCAGCAGTATCTTCTTCCCATTCCAGAAAACCACTTGAACCCATCAATTCCGGGAATTCAGACGGGTTTAATCAAGAAAGAAAACAAAAAAAAGGTTTCGGTTTCGAAAATCGAGGCTTTAACATTCCCTGGAGGATCAACAATCCGATTTAAGGATAGTAAACACAGACAGGATAAATGTTTGATGCATATTCGAGGTCGACTGGTGTATTTATTTTTAATGATTCAAAGTATCTTTTTCGCCTACAAATACGTAATGGAGTTCTAAATGAATTCTTCGGATTACCAATTTTTCTAAGAAGATGATCAAATCCTTTTTTCTTGATGCAAAGATTCTTGTAAAGTCTTTATAAACTTTATTCAAACAATATACTATTTTCATTCAAATAATTTTAGAGTCGGCAACAAAAATAACAGAATTATTCAAATGAATTCAAATGTATATTTATCATTACAATAGTTGTTTATTCTCTCAACTCAAGACACAAAATATAAAAATAGAATTGGAGGAGTTGGCGAAAAATCATAACCTTGGCTGATTGTCAAGTTACTCAATGATAAGTTAGGATTTCAGAAATGTGTGCTATAGAGAGTACGACATGTGTCAGTGCGTGATTCACGCAGCCTCACGAGCGATACCATCGCAATTGGCGCACAAGAAATCACTGACCTTGACTTTAAACAAAGTTTAAGGCCCTTTTGAAGCAGAGCCAGTATATAGGTGTACTTTTGTCTGTATGTATGTATGTATTTGGCTGTATTTGTATGCATGATGTATACATACTCGAACAAGCAGCATAATTATAGAGCCGAGCGGCGTTTCTAGACTGGTTTATTCTCCAAAGTCCCCGGACGTCGACGTCTGCGGTTGCCATTCCACGTTATTCTTTTGATCAGAAAAACGTTGAAAAACGCACATGACGCAAGCGCGCAGACTTTTACCTTGTCCCCCCATCTTTCTAATTCCCTCTCTCTCTCTCTCTTTCACACACATTCCTATTGCATCAGCGGTATAGGAAAGTCACCAGTTGTAAACTAGCCTAGTTGGTAATGACCATAAAAAGATAAACTGGCTTATACACAAGCTTAGACTGACTACTACTCTACAACAGGTCCAACGATATCTGGTCTTTATAGTCGGTTCTTTCTACCCCCGAAGCAAAAGAATTAGTTTGGCACTGTACAGTGGATTTCCTACAATCATTAAGACAAGTAGATTTTCATAAAAAAATGTCCCAATCCAAAAAAGCAATAAATTATGTTTTCAAAAACTCACCGTTTTTCTGACTTCATTAAAACACACAAAAGCCATTCTTGGTTTCAAAAGAATTCAAATTTCAGGAACCTCTCCATTATTTAATCCAGACCGAGACCTGTAATTATTTCCAGTTCTGGTTTCATTTAAATTATGACACTTTTGCGCGAAATCTCAATTTATGCAAATTAAAAACCGTATAATCATTTATGGCGAAACAAACCCAAAAATAAATGTGAATGATAATCTTTTGACTCACTGCCTTGGTTCTATGCATGGGGTTTTACCATTCAAAATCAAGAGATTGTACAAATT